ACACATACTGCTCCCCATACACACACACTGCTCCCCATACACACACACTGCCCCCATATACACATACTGCCCCCCATACACACATACTGCTCCCCATACACACATACTGCCCACCATACACACACACTGCCCACCATACACACACACACTCTACACACATACACTATCCCCATACACACACACTGCTCCCCATACACACACACTGCCGCCCCATACACACACATTGCCCACACTCACACATACACTGCAATACTCACACACACACACTGCAACTGTTACACACACATACTGTCCCACACATACACTGCATCCCTGACATACACTGCCGCCCTCACTCACATACTACAACCCTCACACACACACATACTGCACCCCTTACACATTGCACCACTTACACACACCACTGCTCCTATGCCCTACTACAGCCCCATTTCCCAGCAGACCTCAGGTAAGTTGTCAAACTGTTCTTAAACGGTTTGACTACTTACTCTGGGAGGGAGTCCCGGCACTATTTACACCATAACCACTACACTGAGCTGTAGTGGTTATTGTGTCTGGATTATTTCTTTAAATAATCTACAAGTGCCCCTCCCGAGATCAGGCTCTGGATCCGCCACTGAGTCAGGGGCGGGGTAAAAGAGTGCCACTATGGGCCCATAATATATTATTATATTGGCCTCTTTCAGCCCTGGCAATCCACGAGAGGATTCTCCAAGAAAACACAAAGATAAATACAATAGATGCGTAAACTGCAGTCAACTGGCACCTAGAGGAAGAAATCTTTGTAAAGAATGTCTAACAGATGCTGATAAGGTAATGGATAAAAGATAATCACCTCAAACAGATGTAAAGAAGTAGATTACAGAGGCAATAGCAGAAGGGTTCAAGTCCACAACAAGTAAGATGATCTCATCCAAACGCCTTAGAAGAGAAGATAATTCCATAGAGTCAAGTGAAAATTCGGATATGGGCAACTATAGGAGACTTACAAACAACAAGTGTGTATAAATATAAAATTGTTGTTTGTAAGTCTCCTATAGTTGCCCATATGCACAATGGAAGCTGATGCTTCAATTGGGCAAACTATCTGTGAAGAGTAAAGCCGAGGAAACGAGCGCCGAAAAAAACCGGAAGTGACGTCAGACGCCGGCAAGCCGAACTTCCGCCCATATGACCGGCAGCCAGATAAGCGGCACATTTAAAGAGAATCAGCTGGATGAACTTTTCTATGCACTGAGGAAGACTCTGATCGAGTTGAAACGCGTCTGCATACATTGTATTGCCTTTTGCACTTTCTTAGACAACTTGTTTAGTTGTTTTTACATATATTTTTATCTGCAATAAATTTATTCATTTTTCATTCCATCTTTGCTGTTTCTCCTGCCTTTGAGGGGTATTGCGAAGACTCTGCATCCAGCCTGTATAGGCACCCTTGGGCATTCAACATAGAGCCTGGCACGGCTCTAAAATTCGTGAGTGGATCCATTATATTTTTTATTATTGTCATTATCATATACAGTTTACACTATGTACTGTTTTATGTTATTATAGGGTCCAAGTACACGGAATACTACCAGCATATATCCCTGTATTTAAAAGTATTGTATACACTCACTTTTTTTGGGACTAAGAGAGTGGTGTGTGGACTTCTGTGGCGTTTGTGTATTCAGTGTCAAGATATTTTCTATTTTATACTTTGTATTTAAGGTGTTGGGGAACACTTCTTTCCACCACCACCTTTGTGTTTTTTGTATTGTGTAAGCGCCATTCACTTATCTATTTTTTACTGTTCATAATGGAAGATATGTCAGACGAAGAGGAAGGTGAAGTAAACTATGCTTCAAGAATGTTGGATTCTAAGGCAGTCGATAAACTAATCAACATCATAAGGGAGACTCTGAGATTCCCGGAGGAGAAATCAGAGATGAAAGAATCAGACAGATATTTCGAAGATCTGAAAGCTAATAGGCCAATGTTTCCAGAAACCAGAGAGAAAACAAACTCTAAAAAATAAAGCATTCAGATTATATCCCTATTCGAAAGATGAATGCAAATCATGGAACTCCATCCCTAAGATTGACACAGCTATCCATATGGCTAAAAAGACCACTCTACCTATTGACTCCATGGCTTATCTGAGGGAGCCTATGGAAAAAAGGCAGGATGCAAATCTTAACCAGATCCAACACGCATTAGGATCTGCACGTCATCCGGCTATAGCTTTAATCACTTTGTCAAGAGCATTTAAAGTCTGGTTAGAAAACTTAGAAGGAGACATTGCTAAAGGAATCCGGAGAGAACATCTTTTGGGCAGACTAAAAGAATTGAAGTTGGCTACTGAAATTTGTTCTGAAGCCTCATTGGATGTCCCTAGAATGGTGGCTAAAAGCATGGGCCTGTCAGTTGCAGCGAGAAGAGCGTTATGGTTAAACTCCTGGGGGGCAGACTATGCCTCTAAAGCCTCCCTGTGTGCTCTCCCATTCCAAGGAGATCTTCTATTTGGAAAAGTCCTAGATGAAACTATTCACAAGGCAGCTGAGGGGGAAACAAAGCTTTTCTTCCACAATTAAGAAAATATGCTTCTACCACATGGAAAAATAAGAGGTAATGGGACCGTTCCTTTCGAGAAAGCAGAACATATAAGCCAGGAAAGGAATATTTAAGACCTAACTGGAGACACCTTCCAAATGATCTAGAGGAAGAGGATCACGTATTCCAAATAAAAACTTCTGAACTTTTGCCGGCCCAGCCAGGAATTACAGGAGGAAGACTTCATCTTTTCTATCCTATCTGGGTCAGAAATGTGACAGACTCTTGGGTCCTATCAATTTTGGCAGAAGGATACAGGATAGAATTCTAAACTTTTACAATGAAAGATTTCTTCATCCAATCTCATGTAGCAAAAGGAGAAAAAGAAAAGGCTATGAGTAGCTGCATATCAACACTTCTGGAAAACCAGGTTATAGAAGAAGTCCCAAAAGAAGAACAATCAAAGGGCAACTTTTATTCTACGGTTTCCTGGCCCCAAAACAACAGAAGAAGTGGAGACTTATTCTGGATCTAAAAAATCTAAATTCCAGAATAAAAAGATAGACATTCAAGATGGAATCCATTTCCACTATCATACCAAACATAAAAATGGGGATTGGATGACTTCAATTGACTTGAAGGATGCATTTCATCAGATCCCAATCAATAAATACCACCGCAAGTTCCTTTGGTTCTATGTGTTTGGAAGGCACTACCACTTCCAAGGGCTTCCGTTTGGGTGAAGCCTGGCACCGAGGACGTTCTCGATCACTTTGGTTGCAGTTATCCGAAAAAAAGGGATAGAGATCTATCATTATCTGGATGACTTCTTGATTTTAGGTCCATCCCGCCAGATAGTAGCCCTCCACATTCAGGTGACAGTAGAACATCTAATAGAACATGGGTGGAAGTTGAATATGAAAAAAAGAGTATGATGAAACCTCCTCAGAAGATGATATTCCTAGGTGCAGCTATAAACACTAGCATCGGGACAGTGAATTTATCACCAGAAAGAATAGAAAGGATTCAAGTAAAGATCCGGAATCTTCACTACAAAGAACACATAATGGCAAGGGAATTTATGAGCCTATTGGGCTTTCTTACGTCCACCAAAGGATTAGTCAAATGGGCACAGTGGAACAATTCAAATGAAATTCTTCAAAAACTTCAAGAAACGAGAGTGCAACTGGGATCAGAGAATTCTTCTCACTTAGAAAACATTAGACGACCTATCTTGGTGGACGAAAATGAAAAACCTTTCTCTGGGCTTTCCATTGGAAGAACCACCATGCAAGAAAGTGACCACAGATGCAAGTCTCAAAGGATGCACATTTAGAAGAGAATTGGATAAACGGTACATGGACATCAGAAGAGACAAAAATGCATACAAATCTAAGAGAACTAAGGGCTATATACTATGCCCTTTTGGGATTTCAGCAATGCCTAAAGAACTCTTGGGTAAGAATTCAAACGGACAACAGAGCTGTGGCGTCATATATATATATATATATATATATATATATATATATCGACAAGGTGGAACCCGAAGCAAAGCTCTCTTAATAGAAATAGTTCCACTTATGGAATTTGCTCAAGATAAGATACAGGGTCTGAAAGCAGACTACCTCCCAGTTCTGGAAAATGTTTTGGCAGACTATATGAGCAGAACTATGATACTAGTGGGAGAATGGAAATTGCATCCATCAAGTCAGATCGACTTGATGGATTTGAACTGGAATGCTCAAGTCCCGAAGTATTTTTCACTACAAGCGGACTATCGATCAGCAGGACAAGAATGCCTTTTCCCGTCCCTGGGACTTCAATCTGGGGTATGCATTCCCTACCCTGCCTATGATTCACTAATTATTGAGGAAAGTTTGGAAAGAACAGAAGATGTTTATTGCAATGATTCTGATTTGGCCAAGGAGACAGAATGAGTCTTCCTCAGAGACCATATTTGTTGATCCAACGTCTGCAGTTCATAACAATCCAAACCAGTTGAATTTGTGGGCTTGGCTCTTGAGAAGCAGAGACTCTTTGAGCAAGGATTACCTGACTCTGTGACTGAAACGCTTTTGAAATCCAGAAAAGGTTCCACTTCAGCGTGCTATCACAGAATACGAGATGTTTTTTGGTTATGGTCAGAACAAAACTCCATAAATTTCCTGCATCCTACTAATATTGATGTTCTGAAATTTCTACATGCAGGTCTGGAGAAGGTTTAAGATTAAGCACATTAAAAATACAGTCATTGGCTTTATCTGCACTGTGTAACACCTCATGGGCATCAGATCCTCTGATAGCGAGGTTTTTCAAGGCAGCTATACGTATGAGACCTCCATCTAAAAATAATGCTCCTCCTTGGGATCTTCCCATAGTACTGGATGTTCTGTCAGACACCCCCTTTGCTCCTTTGGATGAGTTGGGTATTAATATTCTGACTTATAAGACATTGTTCTTAGTGGCTAAAAGAATGTCTGAGATTCAAGCCTTCTCCAGTGATGTGAATCATGTACAGGTCTTCCATGATAGAATTACCTTAAGACCTAGAGTGGAATTCCTACCTAAGGTGGTTTCACGATTCCACATTGCACCGGAAGTTGTCCTGCCTTCTTCTTATCCAAACCCTACCTCCTCGGAAGAATTTAAGCTCCATCAATTGGATGTTAAGGAATGTCTGGTGAAATATCTGGAGGTCACTAATCAATTTCGGAAATCACAACATTAAAAAGGTGAAGCTGCTTCTACCGCTACTTTGAGGCATTGGATCTCAAACACCAAAAAGACAGCTTATCATGTTAAGAACCTATCTCCTTCAGAGAAAATAAAGACGCATTCAACTAGAGCACTAGCTACCTCCTGGGCTACTTGGGCAGAGGTTTCATCTGATGCCATATGCAGGGCAGCCACCTTGTCTTCTCCTATGACATTCATCAAACACTACAAGTTGGATGTAGCTTCTTCAGCTACTTCCTTTGGGAGAGGAGTTTTGTCCTCTGTTAATTCTCATGAATATTGTTGCAGCAACCCTCCCATGTTTTTGGTTTTACAGCTTTAAACTAGACTGTGGGATAGAGAGAGGAGGGACCTTTTATGCCTACAGTGTGATTCTAATTAGTTAATTGTCTCCTGTCCTGTTCCTGTTGGGGGCAGAGCTAACCCATAAGTGATGCTGCCATGAATAATAGCCAGGAAAAGAAAATTACGGTAAGTATGGAGAAAATTTTTTATATTATTGAATGGCATGTAGTGGAAAAATTGTCACATGAATTGTAGGCCAAAATAGACATTTGAAGAACATTTAAAAGTTGTCTCTTTCAATGCAATATTTTCAATTCCTTTGTAAATTCTCACCCATTTAATGGTCAGTAAATAAACCCTTTAAATTTTTTTTCCATTAATTATGAAGATTTTCTGGTCTTGCAAGGCTACTCTACAAAGAGAGTCAGGTTCTTGTCACCCGAGTCAAGCCACCTTGCTTATATACTACTGTCACCTAATGTTGTAGAACTATAATGAAATATCAACTAAATAGTTCTAAAACATCCTATAATCTACATCATGGGCACCTCTTTTTCTTTACTTACTATTGTATAATATATTTTACATTATAGTTTCCAGTTTAATAATAATCTGAACATTGTGTTTTCGCAAGTTTCAAATACTGAATTCTGAAAAAAAGTCTGAAAAAATGGGATCAGTGAAAATATTAATTTCATAACCTTTAATAATACTGAGAGGAAAGAATGAAAAGACTTTTAAAAGGCCAATTCTTAAATGGTTTAAATGTCTACTTTTATAGATTCTGTTGGGTTGCACACTATTATGTATATTTTTCGGCAACTGTAAAAAAAATGTTTTATTTTTTTTTGAATCAGCACAGCAAATCAAAGACCTTATTTCATTTTAATTTAATACAATGGAGATGTTCTCATACAAATATAGATTTGTTTTATTTATACAGATATCAAAGGGATGACACATCTTGCAAACATACGCACATTACATAATATAATTACGTTTACATACATTTATAATAATTTATACATGCCGCTGCAAAGTCTTATTCCATTAGACCCAAACTTGGTAGAATGTAATAGTTTCTGTTAAAACGTATAACTTATTTCATCTCCACGTTCCACTAGACACTTTAATACAACATGGAGATAAAACATTCATATGTGTTTTAAAAAGCAGTACAATGTTCTATCACCCCTTTACAGGTTCCTCAGGTTCACTGGCCGGAAATGACAAAAAGGAAAACATTGATTTAAAATAATTTTCACATACAAACAAAAAAAATAATTAAATGCTGTTTTCACCATGACTGGAAGATGCTGTGTTAGAAAAACAAATTGACAAAAACTAAATTTTGTATTTATTTCTTAAGCAGACTCAAAATCACCCAAAAATATAAGATAACCTAATTTTAACATGAGAGAGTAATCTGCACTTCTACTTTACTATTTAAACTGTTCCAATAGGTTCATCTTTAATTTGATATGTTTCATAATTTCATATGTTTATTTCCAATGTTAAATTTAGACCAAACCACTGAAAGAAGCAACTGGTTGCTTTGTGATCTTAGTGATCAGATCTCAAATATAACTTGAGTGATGCTTAAACAGTTAATGTAAATAGCATTTTATGAAATGGCATAGTATGAGAAACTTGGGACATCCACTGACTTGCTTGTTTTTGCATTTTTACTACTGTATGAAGCCATGAAGTTTTATGTTTTTAAAGCAAGTGATATGAGATAAAGAGATTTTTAAAAAAAATTCAGATAGTAGCTATAATGAAAGTTATGGTGAGTAACAAACACATCACAGTTATCTTTAGCACACAGACAAAAAAAAAAAAAAAATATATATTATCCAGAAAGTTACACCTTTTATATACTACATATTTCGGTTAAATATATACTAACATATCGTGTTGGAGAAAAAATAATAACCAAAACCATTTACATAATTGTCCAAATAATCAGTATTTTACAATTACCTCATTTTTTTTTCAACTTAAACCATACATACAAAAATACAAGTAAACCATTATTCCGTTAATGAAAACAAATGAAGAGTTTTTAGCAGAAGAATACAAATGGGTTTTAAAAGTGAAATAATATTTCTGATGTTTGGTGTTAATTATACAAAACTATATGTTGTTGTCATTAACACTAATTATGTAAAAATGAATCTGCTAAGACTGCTCAGATAAAGAATAACTATACATTGTACTCCTAGTAATTTCAGCTCCATCATGTAGGCGTAAGATGAAATGTTTATAAAGCAGTATTAATATATTATACACTTTACACGGGAATAAATGATGACAGACATTTGACATAAAGCAAAATAATTCAAATATTAATATTGAAAATAAATAAATAACAGAACTGTATGTGGTAAAGGACCATACCATATCAACATGTGTGTATGTGTATATATATATATATATATATATATATATATATATATGTTTACAAATTAGCTTCTATAGTAAACATGCTATTGTGCAACAGTGCCTAATGGAAAAGCATTGGTAAAGAAAGATAAATTAATAGATAGTTTCACATTCTATTCATAACATAGTTAAAAGGACACTCCAGACTCCTAAAGCACCTTAATTTGCTGAAATGTTTTATGTCTGAAGAGTGTGTCCTTATTAAAAAAAAAAAAAGATTTTTAATAGAAGTTAGCACTTTACTAAATTGACCAGTCCTGTTACTTCCTGGTTTCGTTAGCTCAGTGGAGATAAACTCAAGAGGCAGGAAACTACCCAGAGAACTTGCCATGCAAAGAATTCTCATTGAGGTGCATTGGGAAGTCTGTGATTGGACATCACAGAGTCTGGGCAGAGTTGGAAGGGGAGGGCTTGCAAAGACTGCAGATAAGGCGTCTGCCCCTTTTGCAAGATGCCTTTAGATATAACATATTGACAAAATGCATATTTTCATTAGGGGTATATCTGCAAAACAGTAGTTGTTTTTGTATTTGAGCAGTGGAGTGTTTCTTTAACATTTGGTTGGATTGACTGGAACTTTGAGTAGTTGACTCTGAGCACCATTACCTGTCAAGATCCTCTGCTGAGCAACAGGAACGGAGTACTAAATTTCTTGAATGTATACTTAGCTCTTGCAGCAGAGTTCCTCTCCAACACAGCTGTCATAGCATAGCAGTGTCATTGGTACCCAGGGGCTATTTGCTTCAAGTTGCTAAGCTAATCTGAGCTATGACCCAGGTTCTAAGCAATGAAAATCCCTTTTATATCGTGTTTTCCCACCTAAGTTACACATATGCCACAAAGCCTTTTGGGTATAAAACCCTTTTATGAATTATGCATTCATATCATAGTCAAAAGGGTCTTCCAGTAGATATAGTGCTAGTAGCACAGACTTTAGTTTATTATTTTTTACACTAGCAGACAATTATAAGCCCCTAAACATAATCAAGGTATTCAAAATAATCTTTTATTGGAAAAAACATACTAATATTGATAAACCTATATTATAGCCTTAATATAGGGAATGAGAAATATTATTAAAATGTGATAGTACAACATCCCCAATGCTGTCACCAAGTAGCGTCCTATGCAAATCACAACTGCTGCTCCCGGACAACATTACCACTAATTTGCCTGATTTCCATTTCAATACATATTTTGAGAAATATCTATTGGATATTTTCCAAGCTCTGTATACACACCAGTGACAATTTGACTTTTATTCCCGCAATTGCTCTGTAAGAGATTCTTCATTAATCAGGATTTCAACAAAATGTTTTCACATCTTTGGAACGGTTTAGACCACTTTGTTCATATACCCTGTCTGGCTAAAAAAAACAAAAACATTTCTAACCATTTATTTAAAATAAAAATATTAGGTGCTTGTTGTGTTTTAGCAACAAAATAAAATACTTTCAAAAAAAACAAAAAATTCATTATCCATTTACGAGTAACTTTCAGTGCTGGTGAAGACTTAATTTATCTAATCTAATTTAAAAATTGAAAATTACCTAACTATATTTGAAGAGTTCTTTGAGGTCATTGTATTGTACTGTAAGTTTTAGAATAGATTTAAATTCTTCACATGTGTCTTGCAGGCATAGTTTATGCAGAATTAGGTTTACCTCTGATGTTTCCATAGGTACAAAAGGTGTAGTGCAATCAGAAGCGACATCGTAAAAGAATATTACATTTGGTTCCACAGCCTTGTGGAAAGTTGAAAAGGAGATACCATACAGATTCTCTCAGAAGTTCCCACATGCTTCTAGGAACCTGTACATACAGCTCAAAGGGAAGTTGAACCATGCATTCATAAAATCATGGATTTCACAGTTCACATACAAACAGTAACTGTTGGACGCTTTGCAAATCAGAAAGTAGAGCCATGTCTTGTTTTGTCCTGGCTCTGTCAGATTGCAAGAGCCTTGTGCAATACATCATGATCTGTAACTGGCCCTTATTAACAATGACTGCTAGTCATATATTCATCATACATTCAGGGCACAGTGCAAGTTTGGCTTTTATTGTCCACTAGTCAGTCATCACTCCGTGTATCCCCTTTTTTTCATGCATCATACACATTTACTGTTATTGCTGAGCTGTACTTTAAGCTTGACAAAGTGGTCGGCCAGTTCCTCGTCCCGCAGGTAGTTGGAATACAAGCTGGCAAGCCGGTCACTGAGCACCAGCTGGAACTCTTCGTTCCCAATTTCAATAGCAGCTGCCAGTGCTAGGAGGTGGTATGTAACTGCGTCTTCTACATCCTGTCAAGAGAAAAGGAACATCAACTGTGGGAGACCATGTAGACTGTTATTCTCTTTCTCATGTAGGTGTCAGTTGTGTTTCCAAACCTGATGCCATTTTTACACTACTGTTGGAAACCAAAATGTACAAATGTTCATTTTGTGGTGGCCACCATCAAAGGTATTGTGTCAGTTGTGTTACAGCCCCCTCTCCACTGTACATGCAGGTGTTTGCATGAAATACATGAAAGATTGTGTCAACATGTAGCCAGTAGCAACTATCATCGATATCGGTTAATCTACTTATGTTTGGTGTACTGTGTATAAGTGTCTACAGGCTGATAATTCTGCATTTCCCTTTGATTTCTGATGTATAGAGGTAAAGGCCATTTAAACTATGTATAAAGTTGTAATTTAATTTCCAGACTTGGGATATACCTTTCTTCTAAAAAGGGCGATGTCTCCTAAACGCCAGTAGACCTTCAAGTAATACCCAGCTTCAGCCACGTGCTCCATGGGTGAGGAACATAAGGACAGGGCCTTCAAGTAGCAGTATTCAGACACCTCATAAATCTGCATTGAATGGTACACCCCTGCCAACCGGTGGAAGGCAACCAGCTCATGTAATGGATCATCTGGAACAGAAAAAAAAGAAGGCTCTAAGTTTGGAACATGCACCATAATATGCCACACTGCAAGTTAAAACCAAGCCAACCACTAAATAAAATCCTTCTTCAATGTGCTGACCCCAGATCCCATGTGATATGAAGAAGTTGGAGAATACAGTGAAAATGATAACTCTCCTTGATTCCACTTAATTTACATTTCTCAGTGGGACGGACACACATCGACGGACAGACAGACGGACACACACACACACTCTCTCTAAAGGAAATTATGTAAATATAATTTTTATCTCTTTTGTTTAAATAAGGCTAGAAAACTCAGTTTGGCGAATAACTCTGAATTTTTCTTGTTCATATTAAATGGACCCTTTAAGTACTTTAGCAGTGAATGTAAGCCTGTTGCAGCATTTAAAGAATAACATTTCCTTGAATACCCTCCTTAATAAAATACATTTGAACTACACCCACTATAGCATTAATTATATTAAAGACTTATAATTGCATTTGAATGATATTACATGTAAGGGTCTACACACTTATTGATTCTATTAGACAAGATAAGCTTATCTGTAACTGAAGGTTGTTTTCCCTGAAGTCAGTGGGAAAACGTTGATACAATTACAAGAGATATGCTTATCTCATCTAATAAATTTTAGTCCTTTGTGAGAATATGTTTTAATGGTTTACACTAGAATGCATAAGAGGCCTATTATTATAATAAAATATTATTTAATATTAACACCATATGTCTAAGCCTCTGGGGTCCAGCTTATCTATGTGAACTGGGCATCCTCTGGGTAAGTTATTTAAATAGAAATGAGATCTCTTCATTAGGTCCTTTTGTAAATCATGCACTCATTGCCACATTCTGTATGTGAGTTTATTGACCCAGACATAGGTCATGATGAAGACTATGCAACTTATGGAAACTTTTAAAGGAAATATGGAAAATATGCCTTTATGTTGTACATCGAGGAATGGCTGGAATGGATTTCTATATATTGCTATAATTGTTCTGAAAAAAAAACGCCATATATTGCAAGTGTATTTATATTGTAGAGTAGAATGCTATGCCAAACATTGCCTAATGATAAAGGACATGATGGATTGTGGGGTGATGCCCAGAGATACACAAATGACAAATGAAAGTTCATTATATAGTTATTAATCTAGTGTTTTAGAACCTTAACAACTGACATGATCAACCGTAATGGATTAAAAATTCAAAATAAATGTAAAAAAAAAAAAAACCCCAAAAAACCAGGGGCTCTATGTTTGAGCTGACATGAGAACGATGGAACTTTGTGTATTATGACCTATGGAAGAAGCATATTCATCTTGTTATTGTCCATGCGTGTCCCTTTGGCATGTGTAAATAATCTTTTATTGTATAATGTCAGAGACTCAGCGATGGGAATAAGGTTTGAATTTATAAAAAATCAGAACCAGCAGTTCTGTAACATATCTTATTTACAGGCCTGACAATTCCTATAGGCATAGTCAATGGAAAAATGCATGTGCAAATGGTGCTTCACCGGGGATTTCCTGCCTTTCATTCTTTTATGAGCAAGTAGTGGGATGTACCCAGCATGTCCACTCAAAATAAGAAATCCCAGTTTAAGAGATGGGATTGCCACTTTGGTGTCCTTTGCATTTCCTGTCGTGAACAGACAAATGCCCTCTTTGGCTCCATGCTGTCCCCTTTAAAAACACTATAGCTCTAGACAAATAATTAATTCATCTCCTTACTAAGGATTATTTAGTGGAGCAGAATGTGAAAAGAACGTGCTCCATCGTTTGAAACTATACAATTCTTCTTAAATTTAGTGTGCAGCATATGTCACATGGATTAGCTAATGGAATGGAGTACTTTCTTTTCTCATTCTGCTGTATTAAATATTCCTTCGTAAAGAGATAAAGTCATTTTTTCAGCATATGAATGGCAAAGTTAGTTTTATGAACTTACATTTTGCAGAGAACGTTTGTTGCCATGGTAAATCGTTCTCTGCTGTTACCTCTTGCGTTTTGAAGCTAATAATAATAATACATACTTGCACTATATTAGCATGTTATTTTAATAACACATACAGAAGTGTGTATGACTTGTACTTTTAGTAACCTATTCACACGTCTTAAAAATGTTTATGGTTTTTTGAATTATTTGTTATTAAAAGCATGAGTTCAGCTCCTTACTTTATGAGTGTACTCTACTTATAATTATACCAACACATACATTTATAGTTATCCTTACACGTGATAATATTCTAGATGGTTAACAACATTGATGCTAGACAGACAAATATTCTCACCCTACACTGTAACACGGAGCGTCCTATAAGCTAAGTAGGCGGCCGCCTAGTGCACCTACTTAGGGGGGTGCCAGCAGTGGCTTTACTGCTTGTCTGGCTGCCCCCCTATCAAGTGGGATTGATTATATATTGCAGGCAGCGGCGCCCACATTACCGGGCACTAGGGAGCACTTACTCGTAGACTAGCGCTCGGTATAACGTCGGTCCAGCATTCCCCACAGCCTGCTATGTCAGGAGCCCTCTCCCAGTCAAGCACCGCAGCAGCACAAGGGCGCATCATTCACTCGCACCTGCCCCTTGCCCTGTACGTGGGGAAAAGTGGGCGGGAGAAAAACAGGAAATGGGGCTTGGGAAAAAAGTGTCGGCATAGTGTGATTCATAGAATGTGTCAGTATGTTTCAGTCAGTATATTTGTGTATGTCAGTCTGCTTGGGTCTATGTGTGTATGTATGGGACTGTGTGTGTGTGTGTATGTATGGATCTGTGTGTATGTATGGATCTGTGTGTGTGTATGGGTGTCTGTGTGTCTACATGGGTCAGTGTGTGTGTATGGGTCAGTGTGTGTGTCTTTATGAGTCAGTGTGTGTGTGTGTGTGTGTGTGTGTATGTATCGATCTGTGTATGGGTCTGCATGGGTATGTGTATGGGTCTGCATGGGTCAGTGTGTGTGTGTGGGTCTCTGTGTGTACAGATCAGCGTGTGTCTGCAGGGGTCAGCGTGTATCTGCAAGGGTCAGTGTGTGTGTCTTTATGAGTCAGTGTCTGTCTGCATGGGTCAGTGTGTGTGTGGAGGGGGGTCAGTGTGAGCGTGTGTGTGGGTCAGTGTGTGTGTCTGTATGGGTCAGTGTGTGTGTGTATGGGTCAGTGTATGTAAGTCTGCATGAATGGGTGAAACCAATGGGGTGGCAAAAAATGTTTTCGCCTAGGGTGGCAAAAATCCTTGCACCGGCTCTGGTTGTACACTAATTTTAACATTACAACAAACTTCATTTGCTGAAAAAGGTGATTTTAAGTAGTCTTGTAAAATAGAATTTTTGTAAAAAAATTTTTTGCTGTTCCTTAAGCTGCATTACATACTTTTTGGTCTGGGCAGCAGCACCACTGCTTAGAATGACTGGAGTCTGGACCAGATTCCTTTAAGGCTGAGCAACCCGCTCCCTACTTCAGATGCCCCTTTTGAGGTCCAAAGGAAAGTATAAATTTGAGATGGTTTTGGATAGCAATGTCACATATTATTTTGATATAAAGCAGATATATGATATGCATTGTGAGTATATACATCAAAGCACTATCACTTTAATTATTTAGTTCTGACACTTTTTTTTTTTTTTAATTGTGGTTTTTACCACATTTAAGGGACACTGTAGGCACCCAGACCACTTCAGCTCTTTAAAGTGGTCTGGGTGCCAACTTCCATTACCCTTAACCCTGCAAGTGTAATTATTGCAATTTTTATAAACTGCAATAGTTATATTGCAGGGTTATGTCCTCCTCTAGTGGCTGTCTATCTGCCGGCTTCTTAGTTGACTTTTGGTCGTTTAAATGACACTGGACGTCTTTACACTATGCATGAGAACCTCCAGTGTTGCCAGAATCCCCATAGGAAAAACATTTCCCCATTAAGTTAGTGAGTGGGGCCAACACAGAATCTAGAACACTCACCAACAAGAGTGCTCATCCGGACAGACATGGCAGCAAATTCCAGTGACATCTTGTAATTTCCTTGACTGATAAGAAGCTGAGTGAGTTTGTGGAGGAGTCGAAGTTGTGTTTGATTATCCTCAAGCTTCTTTGCTAGTGGGAGAGCATATTCCTAAAATAAGATTTAAAAAGAAACAGAATTAATCGCATTGTCTGCACTGGTCAAATATGGTTTTAAAGCACGCTATCTTAAAATTAGGATAATTTAATAAATCTCTGGTTCCCATATAAAAAGAAGTACCATCTTCATTAATTGTTTGATCTTTAGTGCTTTTCCGATCATACTATTACTTTGCGAATAAAGGGCCGTCTTTGGATAGATGACCTATAGGGACTCGTAGATTGCATTCCAGCATGATTGCATCAGTGCATTGCTTTATGTCCTAACCACTGTATCCATGTTTTGGGATAAGGGAGAGTCCAGTCCTGTATCTACATGTATTATATTAGAGAACTATGCAGTGTAGGGGTATGTGCACACTTGAGTCTCGGCAGACTAAGGAATGCAAGGTTACGGTGCTGTAGTCCATTACATGTGATATTTATCACTATGAACTGGGTTATAATGATGTTGCTGTCTAATCAGAGCATCTTACTACAAGGACATGGATATTTTTTTAACATGCCATAATAAATGCACTGTTTCCCTAGTAAAACACACCATGTATACTGTACGTGTCAAACGTTATCCAAATATATCTTACAGCTCCAAACAGTGAGAAAATTAGACTTGACAACTGTTTTGTCAACGAAAAGAAAAAAAGTCCTACCCCATTTACATTTATACACAACTACTGAAAATACAATTATATACAGTTGCAAGAAAAAGTATGTGAACCCTTTGGTATGATATGAATTTCTGCACAAATTGGTCATAAAATGTGATCTGATCATCATCTAAGTCACAACAATAGACAATCACAGTCTGCTTAAACTAATAACACACAAAGAATGAAATGTTGCCATGTTTTTATTGAACACACCATGTAAACATTCACAGTGCAGGTGGAAAAAGTATGTCAACCCTTGGATTTAATAACTGGTTGAACCTCCTTTGGCAGCAATAACTTCAACCAAACGTTTCCTGTAGTTGCAGATCAGACGTGCACAACGGTCAGGAGTACTTCTTGACCATTCCTCTTTACAGAACTGTTTCAGTTCAGCAATATTTTTGGGATGTCTGGTGTGAATCGCTTTCTTGAGGTCATGCCACAGCATCTCAATCGGATTGAGGTCAGGACTCTGACTGGGCCACTTCAGAAGCGTATTTTCTTCTGTTTAAGCCATTCTGTTGTTGATTTACTTCTATGCTTTGGATCATTGTCCTGTTGCAACACCCATCTTCTGTTGAGCTTCAGCTGGAAGACAGATGGCCTTAAGTTCTCCTGCAAAATGTTTTGATAAACTTAGGAATTCATTTTTCCTTCGATGATAGCAATCCGTCCAGGCCCTGACGCAGCAAAGCAGTCCCAAACCATGATGCCCCCACCACCATACCTCACAGTTGGGATGAGGTTTTGATGTTGGTGTGCTGTGCCTTTTTTTCGCCACACATAGTGTTGTGTGTTTCTTCCAAACAACTCAACTTTGGTTTCATCTGTCCACAGAATATTTTGCCAGTACTGCTGTGGAACATCCAGGTGCTCTTGTGCAAACTGTAAACATGCAGCAATGTTTTGTTTGGACAGCAGTGGCTTCCTCTGTGGTATTCTCCCATGAAATCCATTCTTGTTTAGTGTTTTACGTATTGTAGATTCGCTAACAGGGATGTTAGCATTTGCCAGTGACTTTTGTAAGTCTTTAGCTGACACTCTAGGATTCTTCTTCACCTCATTGAGCAGTCTGCACTGTGCTCTTGCAGTCATCTTTACAGGACGGCCACTCCTAGGGAGAGTAGCAGCAGTGCTGAACTTTCTCCATTTATAGACAATTTGTCTTACCGTGGACTGATGAACAGCAAGGCTTTTGGAGATACTTTTATAACCCTTTCCAGCTTTATGCAAGTCAACAATTCTTAATCGTAGGTCTTCTGAGAGCTCTTTTGTGCGAGGCATCATTCACATCAGGCAATGCTTCTTGTGAAAAGCAAACCCAGAACTGGTGTGTGTTTTTTATAGGGCAGGGCAGCTGTAACCAACACCTCCAATCTCATCTCATTGACTGGACTCCAGTTGGCTGACATCTCACTCCAATTAGCTCTTGGAGATGTCATTAGTCTAGGGGTTCACATACTTTTTCCACCTGCACTGTGAATGTTTACATGGTGTGTTCAATAAAAACATGGCAACATTTCATTCTTTGTGTGTTATTAGTTTAAGCAGACTGTGATTGTCTATTGTTGTGACTTAGATGATGATCAGATCAGCATATCAAGCTTGCACCAGATTCTCTTTATAACTTCCTTACATTATATTGCTAATCTTCCTTCCCAGATATTCTATTCTAAGTTCCACCTATAGATGAACATTCCCTATGTCTCCTTCTATTAATGAAAAAAAAAGATTACCTGGTAAAAAGGCAGTGCTTTCTCTCTAGTCTTGATCCCATGAAAAAATACATCTCCTGAAGCTTCATAGAGGTGCAGCGTGCTCGCAGAATTCTCGGATTTCAAGGATGCCTGAATGCCAGCCTAGAATAGCAGTTTAGTATCAACAGTAACAGTTTAGTATCAAAGCAATAAAGGAAAGCAAAAAAAAACCAAAAAAAATCCTAAAGTTCATAGATTTAAAAATGCATTTTGTTGAAGTTGATCCAAAAAGAAGCCAAAACACTATTTTCAATTATTTCCAATTGTGATCCAAAATAGAAACAAAATCTTAGTTGTTACAAGTTGAAAGTCCGATACCCCTTTTGTTAAAAAAAAAAAGCTTAATAATGTCAATTTAATTGTCTTAATATGCATATGCTGCAAAAACCTAAATCTTTTTTAAGATTATTATTGAACTTGATAAACTATTGCCTCTAGGCAGACAACTAGTTAACTGTGTTTCTTACTCTGATTTATATTCTTTTGCTCTTTGGAACATTTCTCATGCGAAAGTGAAAGTGGATCCAACACAAAACCACTTGCAACAAAATCTCTCTGCACAATGGACAATTATCTCTTAAAATTATTATTTTCTTTATTTTGTACAGTAGTAACATTACGGCTGTGCAGAGTAAGAAAGATGAGTGTATCACCTTTTTCTAACCTAGGCGCCACTGGCTAGACTGGACATGTCACTAAGAGGACGAATTTGCTTAAACATAAATAATAAAAATATATTTTTTTACTACTAGACTAAACCAGATCTTAAAGCCACACGGGCACTTTATAGTTTGTTGTCAAAACAGAATCTTTATGTAAAACTCTAGTTGACCATGTTGGAATATGTTTAAATTCCAAAGGAATCACATTTCACATTTCATTAAATCTTTTGACTATCAGCATTTCCTATTCTAGCTTAGTCCATCTAATTGAATTTGCATTTGATATATGACAATGCAATCAATATAGTAAATATATTGAGTGGTATTACACGCATTTTCATTCTCAATATACATGGTGATTCATGACAATTGTGTGATGAATTTAAAATACCCTACTCCAGGCATAGGCAACCTTTGCCACTCCAGATGTTTTGGACTACACCTCACATGATGCTTTGCCAGTATTATGGATGTACGAGCATTGTGGGGGATGTAGTCCACAACATCTGGAGTGCCGAAGGTTGCCTATCCCTGCGCCTACTCTGTGATCATTTTCTGTTTGGTGTTGTTCAAGATTACAATGGGTCTTCTAGAAGCTGTTGTAGTTCAATGAATTTAAGGTTAGTTGTTTACACAATAAATTTTTGAGTACAAAGTTGCGGTTTTAGTATAGTAAATATTTTAATGTGTCCAGATTTTTATGCTTTCCACAACCAATCTAGGGGATGAACTGATCTAACCAATCAGTGTCGTATCCCTTGGAATAGTGAATAAGTGTACTGGGCATGCCTGACCAATTAATACATGTGCACTTGAAAGATCTCTTCACCTTGCAACATCCTGACAGGGGGAGAAGAGAGGGAGCTCAGTGTGATACATGCAAAGTAAGCTCTGGTGTTGGGGTTCTCTCTCCTGCTACTGTATAATGATTCACTGTTTCTGTCATTAATGCACTGCTGTGAAACTGACATGGATGTGTATGGGAAAGGCAGCACCAAATAAACTCCCCTAGCTGAGAGGTGTGCCCAACAATGCAATCTGTCCGTATTGTAAGTTTCGAAACGTTTATACCACACTTTTCAGTACGTTTTTCTTGCTTTATTGGTTTGTATATTTATTTTAAAGTGTTTGCTTGCTGGTTCAAAAAAAATAATAATCAAGTGATTCATGTCCCTTTAAAATAGAACATATTGTATAAAAACTAAGAAAGCATATTTTGATTTAAAAAAAATGTATTACCATAAAAAACAACACATAACAGATCTACCTTAATCCAGGGAGAGTATTTACACTGAAAATTACACCATTTTGCATTGGGAAAAAAAGACTGTTTATTATCCTACACAATTATCATTGAGCGTGGATTTCTTATGGTAGCTTATTACAGCTTATACTAGTGATTCATAACAAAGGTCTATTGTGCTGTGACACTGACATGTAAATAAATCTCCACCAGCTCATCCTCTTTTAGTAGATAATACAGTCTCCCAGCTTGAAGCCAATTCTCAGCTGCTCTTTCATGTTGGCCCAGATCAATAGCAATCCTTAGACTTTGCTTGGTGTAGTCAAGAGCCTTCCGAAGAGACCTGGAATGAATGCAATGATATTAAATGGGTCAATGTTATTTCTTCACTTTAAGAAGTGAAAGGATTTCATGAGTTCTGATTATACCAATGAAAAAGAAAATAAATTATTAAGGCACAAAACTATTTGTTGCGCAAGCTCGGAAAAAGAGAAACTGGAAGAAGCAGAGACAAAGTGATGGTGAATGGCAAGTTCATCATCAGGTAACTTATTTCACCTGCACAATATTAGATCGCGGGTATTTACCTGATAATTGCTACTTCCACCAAAATGCTCACTTTAATAGAGTGTCTATGGGCAAAACTATATTGACCCCCTAAATAGAATGCAACACATCCAATTCTGCTTTTCTGGGAAGCATTCACCCTACTAAGTAAAAGGCTCTCCCCATCTGTCTCCACCTGCTATAGCCTCCAATCCATTACCAGCACTTTATTTATTATACCACAATACAAAATAAAAGTGTCTCGATCCTCTTTTTCCTACAGAGCACCGCAATTCTGGAATAACCTCTAGGACACAATAATATCTTCCTCCAGTCTAAAATCCGTCACTGTCAATATATCTCAATACAGATGAACCTGTAATTAGGGTTTATTATATTTATTACATGTTCTGTGTTAAATTGAAATATGTGTATTGTAATAATATTTTGTATTTTTAAAATTATATTATACCCTATTGTAACAATGCAATGTTTGCAGGCCCACTTCTTGGCGTAACTACCAGCTCTCTTTTCTTATTTCTATTTGTTCTACTCTTGTGGGGATAAAGGGAACCTCACCTACTATTTAGTTTATGGCCTACGCCCTTTCTTAGTTTTATTCTACAGTTTGATAATAGCTGATTCTAATGTTTATATCTTATTTGATGATTATACAGTTGATGTACTTATTAATTACTGTATTTTACTAATCCAGAAAAAGGACTAGATTAGCAACATTAGATAATAAACTAATAGAATCCATTGGAACTATTGTTTATTTGGATTTATTCCTTTTGCTCCATAATTCCTCCTGTTTTCTTTATTATATTTAAAAAAGATCTCTTTTTCAGGGTTCAAATCTCTAGCACAAATGTCTTAATATGGTGGCATTATTCTGAAGCATTTATATCATCCTAGAAGAATGCCACTAGTGGCTTATCTGAATATGTTCAGAGCGAAATACCCCAAAGAGTAGTATTGGAGTTACTCAATACTATCCTTGGGTCACAGCTTAGAACGTTACAACATATATTATACATTGTACCCATTTTTTTCCACTGCACACAGTGCACCTTGTCAACATGTTCTGCTTTAATGCTGGGTGAGAGAAATTATAATGTGCCTACCGGTCTGTATTTAGAGCCTGGTACAACAGACTTAGAGATCCCAGCAATTCCCCCTCCTTCTTTCGATCCCGCAGTTGTTGCACTAGCTGGACCCAGTGTTCACAGTAGGCTATATGGGCCCCAGTGGAAAGGGACACATTGCTGTAGAAATTGCACAATTCTTCAGTGATCCTGAGTTGACCTGCACAAAAACAGCAAAAATTCAACAGATTGACATGTCCGGCTTAAACATTGTTATGAAAAATTAAGGTCATGGAAACAAAAGCAACTACAGTCATGGAAGCTTGTGCGCAATTTAAAAAAAAAAAAAAACACATTCCTAGCAAAAAAAGGTTATAAACTGGTCTAAACTTTGTTTTGGGGTTCATGGCCAGATTTCCCAACATTAAAAATAGAACAAATCAATTCAGGTGAAAAAGGTAAGGCAAAGAAGATAAAGAATTGTGTACATTTTGACCTATGCAGTAAAAAATACTTGATCTATGCATAGATTAATAAGTGTAAGGTGATGTATGTCTGCCCTGTACGTACCAGAAACTGGGACCGTCCTAGTAATTATTACCATTTCTAGAAACAAAGTCCCGCAATATGTGCTAAAGAGCTGGCGTACTTACAGTTCAAGTTGCTGGCCTTCAATGCATAGAGCAAGGCTAATTCATAACACAGTATTCCATGTTCAAGCTTCCTTTGTTCAGTAAGAATTTGTCCCAGCCACTGGAGAACTTGCACCAATTCCCGCTCTGCGTCATCGCTGCCCTGGACATCCATATAAAGTTGGACAGACTTGAGAAAATACTTCTCTGCCATTACAGTGGTTTGGCAAAAAACAGACAGTCTCCCAAAGTTAGCAAGGGCTATGGCTTGGTTTCGTCTGTTGCCAGTTTCAGTTGCCATTTTGAGGGCTTGTGAATACCCTCTCAATGATTCAACAACCTTTTTGTCCATTTTCTGGGCATTTGCAAGCATGTTATGGATGACACCACATTGGGTGGTACTGTCTGTTTGCTGCATAGATTCTAACAGAGGTCCTAGAATGTGACAAGCCTGTTCAAAATGCCCATCCAGTGTATACAACCACCCTAAGAAAAGTGATGCTTCAAATGCTTCATCCTCACTGGTCCATCGACCCAATTCAACTGCTCTCTTGGCGTAAGTAATGGCACTGGGGAGTAGACTATATTGGAGATGTATTTTAGATAAAATAAGGCATAACGTTCTTTGGGCTTTCACATCTCCACTTTCATAAGAACATGACAGGGCATGTTTTAGGTAGGGAGCAGTTTGTGCAGGAATATAATTGCCTTTTAATGAGGAACCAGTGATCCTGGATAAATTTTGCATAACTACCCCTACTCTCCACAACGGGGATGGCATCATTTTCATACCAACAGATTTACATAGTCTGGCCGATGCTAAAGCCACATGAGGCAGATATTTTTTATCATATAAGTAACTTAATATGGGAATCACGCCTAAAGAAGAACAGACAGGCTGAGAGCATGAGGAAATAAGAAGAAATTGCAAGCGTTCCACAAAAGGTAAGGCCTCATCATATCTACCAAGCTGATGGAGAAGCCTGAATATGAGAAAACAAATTCGAGATTCAAATGAGGTGTTGTTAACAATGATGGCTTTCTTTAGAAGATATTTTAGCACTTCAAGTTCGTGCTCTGAGCTAAAAGTATGCTGGTGCAGGCAAGTTAGAAGACTAGCGGCCTTCTCTAGCAACAGCTCCTGCTTGGATCTCAAATTTTGCTTCAAGTAAATAGCACAGAGATTACCATACAAGGCAGCCATAAGGTGCACATCAAGAAATCCCTGCCGCATGGCACTTAAGGCTTCTTCAAAGTAAACTCTTGCCTGGGACAGCTTCATTCTCTTCACACAAATCCTTCCAAGAAGAAAACAACATCGAATATGGGCCCATGACATATTTATTTTCTTAGCCCAGTTCCGAGAGGTTTCAAGGTAGAATACCAGATCTTCCTCCTCAGAAAATCCATAGAAGGTCGAGTTGAGGAAAGACATGGACAAATCATACAAGGGCTGGAAGTAAGTTTGATAGCCATCCTGATTGAGGAATGTCAAGACTGGATCAAAGACTTCCGAATCTTCCATCTCCCCAGCATTTAAATCAACAAAGAACTTTGGATCATCAAGTTCATCCTGGCATTGCACTATGAAGCCCTCCACCCCACCTTTCCACTCCGAGTCAGGACTTGATTTCTCAGAGGCACTGCATTTGGACGAGCTACTGACACCTTCACATTCCTCCCAGCTGTCAGACACTTGACATTCACCAAAATTTTCACTCATACCTGGAACACATTAAGGAACAAAACAAATCATAATTAACAATCATAAACATCTTTCATTATTAGGTATTGGCCAGCAGAAAAACACAAAACAGTGTTTAAGTTAGGCAGCAGATGCTCCACAAATCAAAATCAAAACAGGTGTAGTAGAAATAATGATGCTTCCAAGACATTTCTGTAGACAGATATGTGTGAAATAAAGAAATTATGTTGATTTTTAAAAAGTTAATATTTTAATTCACTTTTTTCAAATCATACTTGAGTTTAATATTTTAGTTCCTAATTAAGGCATATACTACAATCCAATGTTGACAACAGATCAATATTTTATTTCCCACCGTCAAAATCATGCAACTTTCCAAAGTGATCACAATCCAAAATTTGCAAATCATTTTACTGCTAGATAATGCAAATGAAGTCAGAAAACATGAATATTGGGTAAAACCAAGCCTAACTAGGATTTATTCATTAATCTTTCAATGCCTAAATTGGCACGCCGACTCATTTTTTAATTAATAGGACACTTGTCCACATTCTATCTAAAAAAAAAATCAGTTTGAAACAGATTACTACAGCCATAATGTCAAATCTTGTACTCACTAACTGAGGCTTTGTGATACATGTCCACAGGATCTAGGCCATCTGAAAAAGAAAAGGAAAAAGGCCACAAAAAGCATTAATAATGTACAACTGTTTCTTAGTTTCAGATAAAGCTTTGAAACTGATTTGATATCATTTACACATCCTGGTGTAATCAGTGTTCATATTCAGAACTCTGAACTCATAACTCTGGATCTGCTTGTTCTCCACAGTGTAAATAAACATACAATCAATGCAGTTATCACACCTACCTTCACAATGGGGGAGATGATGCTCTATGAAAGCTTGTGTTCTGATAAGTGGCATAAAGATGTTAATGGGAAGTAGTAATCAGTGAAATGTTACTGGCGATTCCATTGGTTTCCATGATAACTGCTCTACCTTTAAAACTTTGCTTCCCTTTTTATAAAATGACATTTTGATATATGTCCTCATTACATACATATCATGGTTATAACAGGTATAACCTCTAACTACTTAAAATGAGTGAAAATTCTTCAATATTTTGCCCACAGCTATTCATTGTGTCATTGCGACCACCACAAATTATTTATTATTTTTACTTTGTGATGGTGACTAGGAATCATTGTATTTTATTTAACCAGGTCAGCTGCACATAAAGTATGGAGGTAGCAAGTTATTGGTTCTCTGGTAGACAGATATGTGTGAAATAAAGAAATTATGTTGATTTTTAAAAAGTTAATATTTTAATTCACTTTTTTCAAATCATACTTGAGTTTAATATTTTAGTTCCTAATTAAGGCATATACTACAATCCAATGTTGACAACAGATCAATATTTTATTTCCCACCGTCAAAATCATGCAACTTTCCAAAGTGATCACAATCCAAAATTTGCAAATCATTTTACTGCTAGATAATGCAAATGAAGTCAGAAAACATGAATATTGGGTAAAACCAAGCCTAACTAGGATTTATTCATTAATCTTTCAATGCCTAAATTGGCACGCCGACTCATTTTTTAATTAATAGGACACTTGTCCACATTCTATCTAAAAAAAAAATCAGTTTGAAACAGATTACTACAGCCATAATGTCAAATCTTGTACTCACTAACTGAGGCTTTGTGATACATGTCCACAGGATCTAGGCCATCTGAAAAAGAAAAGGAAAAAGGCCACAAAAAGCATTAATAATGTACAACTGTTTCTTAGTTTCAGATAAAGCTTTGAAACTGATTTGATATCATTTACACATCCTGGTGTAATCAGTGTTCATATTCAGAACTCTGAACTCATAACTCTGGATCTGCTTGTTCTCCACAGTGTAAATAAACATACAATCAATGCAGTTATCACACCTACCTTCACAATGGGGGAGATGATGCTCTATGAAAGCTTGTGTTCTGATAAGTGGCATAAAGATGTTAATGGGAAGTAGTAATCAGTGAAATGTTACTGGCGATTCCATTGGTTTCCATGATAACTGCTCTACCTTTAAAACTTTGCTTCCCTTTTTATAAAATGACATTTTGATATATGTCCTCATTACATACATATCATGGTTATAACAGGTATAACCTCTAACTACTTAAAATGAGTGAAAATTCTTCAATATTTTGCCCACAGCTATTCATTGTGTCATTGCGACCACCACAAATTATTTATTATTTTTACTTTGTGATGGTGACTAGGAATCATTGTATTTTATTTAACCAGGTCAGCTGCACATAAAGTATGGAGGTAGCAAGTTATTGGTTCTCTGGTAGTTTTGGGGGCCCTCAAAATGTTTAATTTCATTTAAAGGAGCACTATAGGGCCAGGAACACATATGTATTCCTGACCCTATAGTGTTAAAACCACCATCTAGTTCCCCCTGGCATCCACTTGCCTCTCTAAATAGAGCAAAATCTTACTTGTATTCAAGTCGGAAGCTGCTGTCTCTGCCCCTGAATTACCTCTGTCTGCTGACATCATCAGAAGTGGTGGTCTCAGCCACTCACAATGCTTCCCCGTAGGATTGGCTGAGACTGTCAAGGAGGCAGATCGGGAGCAGAGCCAGCGCAAGTCAAGTACAGCCCTGGCCAATCAGCATCTCCTCATGGAGATGAATTGAATCAATGCATCTCTATGAGAAAAGTTCAGTGTCTGCATGCAGAGGGTGAAGACACTGAATGGCAGTGCTGCTTACTCTGCAGCACTGCCCAAGGAAGCAGGTTATCACTAGGCTGTAATGTAAACACTGCATGTTCTATGAAAAGACAGTGTTTACAGAAAAAAGCCTGAAGAGAATGATTCTACTCACCAGAACAAATACAATAAGCTGTAGTTGTTCTGGTGAGTAAAGTGTCCCTTTAAAACACTTGTAAACTTCTAAATACACATACACACTCACTGACAGACACATATACACTCAGTGTCAGACACACACTTTCACTAACAGACACATATACATAGCTAAAACAAAAAGGAGGAAGAGTCTGCGCTAACTAAGCAGCAACCCTAAAAGGGAAATCCCTCACGAAACCCTTAGGAAATGCAAGAAAAGTGGGGGTCAAGGGTGCGCTTAGGTAAAAAAAAATTAAAAAAAATATTAAAAGTATATAAGATCGTATATTAATATAATAAAATCAAATAAAGTTCATCCGGATTTGTGAAAAGTATAAATAAAAATTATAAAATAAAAACAGTCTCACTGGTATGCAGTACCACAATCCCAAGTATGGCTCCGTCCGTGTAGTAGGTAGTCCATATATGTGAAGATAAAAAACAAAAGAAAAAGCTGCCAATGGTGAAATATTGTATATCCTGATGTGGTATATATTCAAAGGAAATATATTTCACTCTGAGATGCCAGCTCTGGGAGAAGAGACACTTAGTGGTTTGCTAACGGATATACTCGGATGGTCCGTCTGTCCGGCTTGGAATTCCTGTGGTATCGGCTAGGATCTACTTCAAATATGCGGCTTGGAAGATAGGTGCAGTATCGGATAGTAGGTGAAACAAAATAGTGCTCTCAGTATGAACAACAAAGTAATAAAGTGAGTTATACTTACAAGAATAGAGCAAAGGTACTGCTCTATTGCCACAGCGCTGGTGGAATTATCCTAATTGCTGTTTCACATATACTCCGTGGACACCTACTATCCGATACTGGAAAGGCGGATCACTGTGCGAGGGAACAGCAGGATTAGTGCTCCCTCGCCGCTTGCCCGGAAAGCTCTGCCGCTGACAGCCTCTGAGCTGGACCTGGCCAGCATCTGTGCCCCACAGGACAAGAGGCTGGCAAGCATTTGCCAGGGCGACTGGGGGGTCGGCTTTTTTGCCGCCCAAGGCAAATGCCCTGTTTGCCTCGGGGTAAACACAAGCTGTTGCCCGTGACTTGAATGTTCATTTCTCTACCATAAGCCATCTCCAAAGGTATTTCAGAATTTGGCAGTAAATCCAACTGGCCTCACAACCACAGGCCACATGTAACCACACCAGCCTAGGACCTCCACATCCAGTATCTTCACCTCCAAGATCGTCTGAGACCAGCCACCCGCACAGCTGCTGCAACAATCGGTTTGCATAACCAAAGAATTTCTGCACAAACTGTCAGAAACCCTCTCAGGGAAGCTCTCTGCATGCTCGTCGTCCTTATCGGGGTCTCGACCCGACAGCAGTTCGTTGTCATAACCGACTTGAGTGAGCAAATGCTCACATTCATGGCGTCTGGAAGTTTATGTTCTCTTTACAGATTAATCCTGTTTTTCACTATACAGGGCAGATGGTAGACAGCATGTATGGCATCGTGTGTGTGAGCAGGTTGCTGATGTCAACATTGTGGATCGAGTGGCCCATGCTGGCGGTGGGGTTATGGTATGGGCAGGCGTATGTTATGGACAACGAACACAGGTACATTTTATTTTGAATGCACAGAGATACTGTGACGAGATCCTGAGGCCCATTGATGTGCCATTCATCCACGACCATCACCTCATGTTGCAGCATGATAATGCACTGCCCCATGCTGCAAAGATCTGTACACAATTCCTGGAAGCTGAAAACATCCCAGTTCCTGCATGGCCAGCATACTCACCGGACATGTCACCCATTGAGCATGTTTGGGATGCTCTGGATCAGCGTATACGACAGCGTGTTCCAGGTACTGCCAATATTCGCACAGCCATTGAAGAGGAGTGGACCAACATTCCACAGGCCACAATCAACAACCTGATTGCAAAGGAGATGTGTTGCACTGCGTGAGGCAAATGGTGGTCACACCAGATACTGACTGGTTTTCGGATCCCCCCGAACCTCTCTAATACAGTAAACTGCACATTTTAGAGTAGCCTTTTATTGTAGTCAGCCTAAAGCACACCTGTACAATAATCATGCTGTCTAATCAGCATCTTGATATGCCACACCTGTGAGGTGGATGGATTATCTCGGCAAAGGAGAAGTGCTCACTAACACAGATTTAGACAGATTTGTGAACAATATTTGAGAGAGACAGGCCTTTTGTGCACATAGAAAAGGTCTTAGATCTTTGAGTTCAGCTCATGAAAAATGGGGGCAAAAACAAAAGTGTAGCATTTATAATTTTGTTCAGTGTGGGTTTTTAAACCTAGTTAGAAGAGGAGGTATTAGTCACTTCAGGAAACAGCAATCAGAACCTTGAAATTGTGATAGTAATATTGGCTGCATTTTATTCGTGTCTCAGTAGTACTCCGCTATTTTGGACAACGTCAATCATCTGGGATCACGGACTCCCTTTGGGGTGAGGAAAGCTGGATTTGCTCAAGTGAATGTTACCTCCCTAATGGTACAAATGGCCTAAACATTAATGTTTTGTTTTACAGGAACAGAGGGGCTGCAAACTAAAATCCACACAGCCCCCGAAGAGAAAAGAAGTATTGATGCATTGATAACTTAAGCACCTTTTTATTATTCTTTATGATGTATATAATGTTAGACCTCAGTTTAATAGCCAACCCCTTGCTCAATATTCTGAGAGAAATAAACTGCATCTCAGAGACAAGACAATTAATACTTTATTTGAGAAGACCAACCAACTATTTGAGATGGTGGCGTAACAGGTCCATATGGGTTGGGTCCATAAGAAGCACTTGCCAAATTTAATTCCAGGTTGGCATACTTTTTCCTATATTGTTGATATAAGGCCCTTTATATTTGCTTCATTTAATGCCTTATTTCAGCCTCTATTCCATCTCATTATCCCCCAAATCAATCGTCCCTCATCTCATTGCAATGCCAAATCTATCGTTAGAACTGGGTACGTGCAATCAGATGAACATCACCATGGAAAGATATCTTTCAACCTCATCGCCTGTCAGGCCTAACATTCTAAGTCAAGGACTTATTGTCCCCTTCCCCCCAGAACATCCAATTAGGTCTAGCCATGCATCTCATTACTGCTTCAAAACCTATGACCTTTAGAGATTTATCTCATTATCTCAAACCTTAGCCATCCATGTCATTGACCCCAGTAAATTCACCCTAAACCATCCATCTCATTGTCCTACACACATGCAGGACCATTAGACTTAAGAACCCCTTTAAATAAACAGCTGAGAGTGTACAAAGGCATACATTCTGCACCAGACTTGATGAGAAATTGGAGAGAAGAGTACCTCTACCACATGTCCCTAACAAAGTAGCAGTGAGAGCTGCCTCTACAACATATCACATCAAAACAGTCTACATTCTGCAATATAGACTGAGGACAGAATGACAGGTGTGATATTATAATTAGGTACTCTGATTTAACAAAAAAAATGTTATTATGTTATTTAACAAAAAAAAGATTGAGTCTAAACCGCTTTAATGGATGCGATCAGTCTAATAAACTCCTGAAAAGGGTTCCCCTGTAATGTAAAACGTATTTGAGTTGCTCCCAAAAATATTTTGTCTCTTTAAGGTGACTATTACACAGGTACTGCTGCCATATTTTAAGGGAAGGTTATTGCTAAAATAATCAAGCTCTTTATTACTGACATCTACATGGTGCACAGGGGTTTCAGTTCACAATAGATATGTATTGAGTTAAACTCCACAAACCTCATTCTGTTTGATCATAATAGTCTGCAGTTATCTTTTTTTAACTATCCAAGATAGGTAGAGCAAGCATGTCAAACTCAAAGTCTAGAACGGGCCAAACAAACAAGGTTTAAGTTTATGTGGGCCGCAAAAAAAAAAAAAAAAAACGTAAATTTTCATAGAAACGTAGGTTTCGTTTAAAAAGTACAGTATAAAAAAAAACCTAGCATCCCCCTCTACTAAACTACAGCAGCCCCTCTACTAAATCTCAGTCCGCCCATGTACTAAATCCCAGCACCCCTCTCTAGCCAACAAGCAGACTCCACTCACATTGCCACTGCCAGTATGCGACTCCGCAGTGCGGCCTCTGGTATACCCCAAATGGCGCCGTCCGCACCCTGTGCCAAAGTGGATCCTCCCACTACTTAGACAGGCACACAGACACATTCACTGACACACACACACAGACACACTCACTCACTGACACACACACACTCACTGACAGACACACTCTGACACACGCACTCACATATTTACACATTCTTGTACACACTCACATCATTCCCTGGGGTCCAGTGGGTATCTTATTTTTGGAGATCTCCTCCCTGCTCACTCGCATGCAGTTAAGTGATGCCGGCATCACTACAGATGGCACGTGTGAGTGAGCAGGAAGAGTGAGCTCCCTTGCTGCCGCCAGCGTCCTGCTTCCTCTCCGGCCAGGTAAATGTTAGTAGAGTAGGCACCTACAATGTGGAGAAAGCAGGTGCCTACTCTGCTTTAACACAAGCATGTACTCGCGGTTCGCCTGGCAGCAAAGATGTTCATTGTGGGCCGTAAATTTGACATGTTTGCTGTAGAGGTAGCAGGGAAGAAGCAGATTCTTCTCCCTATCAGGTAACCACAAGGTGCAGATAGATAAGGGAGATCAGTTCCTGAAGCTTCTAAACAAAACTGGTAATTTGCTAAAGTGTGAATTATTGGGGATTCATAGTAAATTTTACATTTTTAGACAGCTATGCTATGTTGGCCTAAAATTTGAAATTCAATATGAATTCAAACAAATTCACATTTTAGTAAATAACACTGCCTGTTATTTTTTGGTTTTGAAAATGTGATCTGAATTGTAAGGCAGATACATAAACATCCATTTTATAATCCTTTTCCATACTTGGAGAATTCCTCCTTGAGCACAAAAATTACAAATATCGTAACATGCAAATAAGCACAGACAGGCATTCCTGTGTTTTAAACACAGTATTTACTCTCATGGAGAATTCAGCTTCCAGTCCGGAACTTTCGCCATGCTGACCAGACCCACAATGTCACAATAGTACAATCTATTGGTGTCTTTTGGTAATGGATACTTTTGAATTCTAGCCCATGCTCGGGTTTAAAAAAAAAGCAGTGTTTATACAGTGCCCATTTCTAACAGTGTCAACAAAACTGCAGTATAAAGTCACGATGCCTGTCTGATCATCTGCATGACAAGCTGGAAACTATGGGACAGTTGATGATAGATGATTTCTCAAGTGTCTGCAACCAGGGCCTTATTACATGCAAAGTGTGAACGGAGCGTTAACTTATGTTGGCTCTTACGGTTATAAATACCTACAGATAATTGATTCATGTAAAAGGATTCCAAGGATGAGTTCTGTAGTCTGTGGAACCAGAAAATAGGTATATAGGATATGCACATGCAGAACACAACATTAGATGGACCTTTGGTACTCACCTAGTCTGTACACAGAACTAATGTTGGTCTGAGAGAGGTCATTCAGAAGCTGCACACAGCTACGTTGACTGTCTTCATCCAGAGAGTTGAGTGCTGACTTTTCCTCCTCACTTAGAAAGAACAAGTCTTTACCCCTGGACAGGAAAAAAAAGTGTAGAGTATTTAGAGATATAAAATTACTGCTGATGTTTCAAAAGCATTGACGTGGCAGCTGTATAAAGCTCATGTCAGGCCACTTTCTGTATAATAAAAGAAATGTCCAGAGGGCATACTTAAAAACCAGGCTTTTAGGGTCTAGACTCTAGACCAGATTGGGTCTCCCAGATAGATTGGGATCCACCCAAAATGGCTAATACACAAAAGATTAAAAAAAAAAAAAGTCTTGGACTCAGTGAATATTTTATTTTCTCAAACTTCAATCTGCCTACATGGTCATGATACCACCTAAATGCAGTTACAACACTTTGAAAACAAGTTTGCCATTTTCTATAGTCTCTGTTCTTAATATATACACTTTATTTAGTAGCCAATTATTCATCTACTTATTTTTTTAATAAGATCTAGAATAGTGTAAAACAATGTAAAAGGTCAAAGGTACAGGTTAAGTAGATTATATTTAAGTGACAAAAAGGTTAGTGATGATATTTGGGTTACTTTATTAACCCCGATAATAAAAAATATGTTTTTATTATTTTAACAATCGTCTTCCATTGCTCCAGTTCTGACCTTTATGTCCTTATTTATGTCCTTATTGAAGGCGCTTTTGGGGGTGGACAGAGGTCACCATTGGCACACTGACTGCCTGAGTTCTTCTCTTTGGTCCTTTTATAGGTTGTGCTGAACTAAATGGTAGAGACATCCCTTGCCAATACTTCCTTTATATTACCTGCATTAACCACGGGAAAGAGGGGCTAATGATTAATCGACAATGGAATTTCCAAACACCCTAACTGGCACAATTTTTTGGGGAGGGACATTTTGCTGGGCACTACTCATGAGAAACCATGCATTTTCTTACAAGGATCCATTCCATCCTTGTGTAGTGAATATATTGTTTGTTTGGCAATGGATTGGAGAAATCTGACCAACTAAAGACAATTAATTTTACAATTCAATTTCAAAGCCACAGGGATAGGAGTTAACAAGTAGTCAGTTTAACAAGTTAACAAAGTTAAAAGTTAACACTTGCTTTAAATCCCAAAGCTAAATATCCCTCTTGTCATTACAAATTGTACTGTCGTATGTAAGCAATAAAAATACCATATAATTTTCATGTGCAATATTTCAAATCACTTAATTGAGCTAACAAAACAGTGTAAAGGGCTTATCTCATAACATCTCAAAGTACAGCTGGAGCAGTAAGGCCTATTATTTTATGATGTGTTTAATGATTTCACTTATGTCTAAAAGCTTTGGAGATTAAGGTGGTGATACCCTGGATGAATTAAAAGATATTTTACGAGAAAATACTTGATTCTTATCTTAGTGAATCCATTTGTGTATGCCTGACCTTGTAAATTTCACAATTGTGTAAAGAGGACCTGTTACACATAAAATTAAAAATACTAAAAAAAATAAATAAAAAAAAGCATTCTACATCAGCGAAGCACAAAAATGTCTTTTAAAATTTGTAAATGGTTCAGCAGGTTTTAAAATTTGATTTACATGTTTTCTTCTTATATACAATTCAGCCTGGATGCATGTCTTCCTGAACATTATGGCCTCACATTTAAGCATATTTCATTTCTGCCATCTCTAAATGAAGTATTACAAAAACTAAAGTGAACCTGATGTCTGTTTTATATAGTCTTAAATTAGAGGGGCAAGGGTTTAAAAATAATATCAGGAAGTATTGCTATACCGAGAGGGTAGTGGATGCATGGAATAGCCTTCCAGCTGAAGTGGTAGAGGTTAGCACAGTGAGGGAGTTTAAGCATGCATGGTATAGGCATAAGGCAATTCTAGACTTGAGATAAGGCCAGGACTAATTAAAGTATTCAGAAAATTGGGCAGACTTGATGGTCCAAATGGTTCATATCTGCCTTCACATTCAATGTTTCTATATATGTATTCAAATGTGAAAATTTTGACATATATTCACCATATCTCTGATAGGGTACCGCCATATCCTTAGCGGCACTCTTAACTTTTCTGTGTCACCCACCCCGAGGCCACCCTTTGTTCCACCAGGACTCTTCTTTACTTTGCCCTGCATGGTGATGCTTCCCACAACATTGGTTTCGTTGCCAGCATGGCTGCGTCTTAATCATAGGCGTGCGCAGCCTATGGCATTAGGGTGTGCACCCTAAAGCACAAACACACGCCGCGTGTATATGTATGTATGTATGTATGTATGTATGTATGTATATATATATATATATATATATATATGTACAGGCAGTGATCAGCACTCTCTGACTTTTGAAGGTTAAAACTTGCAGTTTATTAGTAATCCATTAAAAATCAGATCAACGTTTCAGTCCCATCAGGGACTTTCATCAGGATCAGGTGAGGTCTTTTCTGCTCTCCCTTGTCAGTCAATTCATTGGCGCAAAGCCTATGCCGAAAAAGTGACTTACAGATGGAAGAAAGACTGATTTTTAAATAGTTTTTTTCCCAATCTTTAAGTTTTCTAGCAAATCTGCTAGCACTGTATATAGGTATGCCCGGTACAGTCAAAAAGAAACAGGATAACATTTTTTTTTTTTTTTTTAAATCTGACAGTTTCTGTTTTAAATAAGGAATACATAATGTATTAAATGAGTTTACTGTGAGACATGCTGTGTAATGACAAACAGCTATTATGATCATGTTTATATTTATCTGTGATAAAAAGAAATATGTTCAGCAATTATAGTCGTGCTTTTCTACATATGTTCCCATCTCAAAACACGTAAACATAGCTGGCATTAGACGTGTGTTTGTTTTCATAGGAGCAACAATTGAGCAACAGTGACACCATGTGACAGAAATTAGAACTTCAGAACATATTGCTTACTTAAAAGGTTACTCCCAACAAAAATTCAGGGATTTAGTAAAACACTGTTTTTGATCAGAGTAACCCTAACTGGCTTGGATCTCATCCCAAACGTGATAAGAAAAATAATAAAGTATAACTAGATTAAGCACAGGGGCCAAGTTCTCCCTGCAGTCAGGGCTACATTAGGACCCCTCATTGGACTAGGAGTGATACAAGGCAGGGACAAGCGGAAGACTTAACAAGCATGGAGTGGGGGGCGTGCTGCCACTGGTCGATTATTACCATCATGTTATATGTGCTGATGACACAAATATGCACTATATTCACTTCAGCCAGTTCAGAACTCTCGTTCTGGGTTGGATAATAACTCCATCCCTGCTAAAAGGGTTTTAACGATCTATGTGCATTGTTTCAAACAAACCTCAAGCGCCATGACCACTTCAAATCACTGAAATGATCACGGTGCTTGGATTAGCCCTACAAACCCATAGACTCATTTATAACAATATATCTCCTAGGAAGGAAATTGAAAAGAAGATTTATTCACTAGAGTTTATTTACTAAAGAGATCTATACAAGGGATAATTATTTTACTCTGCAGAATTTGACTATTTCAAAGAAAACATTAAGGTAAGTAGGATCAAGTAAATTCCTTAACTTTCTGCAGGTTTTCATTTACCCACATATTGGCATTGGTGATTAGTTAGCAATGCTGAGCATTTTGGGGTTAATTTTAAACGCTTTGCCTTAGTTTCTATTTACCTATAATATAGACCAAATGTATTCTTTTTCTGTTTGTGGATGATTGCAGAATAAACGATTATAAAGCAGATATATAATACATGAGTGATTTTCAATTTGTGTTTAATATACCATCTCTGTCCTTTATCTCAGTACATCAGTACATCCAGTATACATTGCTTAACAAAGTATTTTTGTTGAACGAGAAGGCAAAATAATTATATTGATGCCATTGCCAATACAATATGCTCTCTGACTCCAAAAGTAATCTAATTTCTTCCTGCATTAATGTTATGTAAACTATAATAAATTCTAGTGTACTGACAATAACATTACAATATATTTATATATATATATATATATATATATATATACACACACACATACACACACACTTACACACATATATTCTCATATTTTAAAAAATGTGGCAAACTGAAATTCAAAGGGCAAATTTAGGCTAAAATAGTCGAGCTGCAGCAGGTCAGTGATCACCTATTTTTGCCTAAATTTTGCCATGCAGATTTCAATTCATGACAATTTGGAGTAACGTGAATAGACTCACATGCTTCTTTTCTTAGTGTTTAACAGCACATAGAAGCTAGACTTGACACATGAATCCAGACAGACAGACTTATTTATTTGCTGTCTGTTTCATGACAAAACGTTACCCTTCTCATTGCACATTTTTGTATTTTATCCTTTTTTTTCCTTTATCAGACCTGTTGTTTCTATAATTTTATTTATTTTAGCTTAAAAACAAAAGTTCACTTTGAAACCCTTGCAATGTACAAATCTCACACATATTTTAAGTAAATTACATTTGAATTCTGATTTTGCAATGAATAGGACCAATATTTAAAAGGATTGCTATACAATTAAAAAAATAAATAAATAATACCTATATAATTAGACCAAATTAAGTAATAAGAATCTCAATAAATAAACTACAAGCATCACATAATCCCTAAATAACATATTCAATAGCATGAACTGCATTTCACTGGATAGTCAAATTAATAAACACAGTTGAAATCATAATTGGTAGGAAATGATAACACATACATGCATGGGATTTATTCATTAAACTGCAAAATGTGGTCAAAAGAGGCATGTTTCAACACGTCACCAAATTACCAATTTTTATTCTTAGCTTAGCTTCTTTGATTTAGATTTGCAATGTATTGGTCACGTTATCCCAATTCACTTTTGACTTAGTCTTATAATAATGATGATAATAATAATAATAATAATAATAATAATAATAATGATGCAAGGATTGTGAACTTACAGAGCTTTCAAGCAGCTTGGGTCCACATGCTTTGTTTGGACAAAACCTGTGGTTCCATTAGATGGGCTTCTTCCCACCAACCACTTCAGTCCTGGAACATAGAATCCAATCACTTCAATACTGTCCCCTCTACAGTAGCTGAGCTCATCTGATTCTGTCGCTGTGTGGGTCTCCCTGGCTGTGCAGAGACCCTGCCCTGAACACACAAGGAAATGGTGCTTTTATTGCAAAGATATACACATACTAGAACATAGATATCCAGTGTAGCTGCTTTAAACATATATTCTTAGAACAATAGAAACATATGGATGAACACAGAAAGAGGTTACGGCAGTTGCTTGCTAGTTGGATATTAAATTAGAGGACATATTTGGTGCTACAAGATTCGATCACACCAATCAGGTTCTCACGGAGAAGATGGATTTTTTGATACGGCAACTTTTCATAAAATGTTTAATTGCTATCTAATAACAAGAATGTCTTATTTATCCACAGAAATTTAAAATAGTATTGTAAAAAGGTTTTTTGGTTTTTTTTTTTTAAAAAAAGCTCATTCTCATCAGTTAAGAGTTGAAGTTGTCAGTTTACTCCTGCTCACAGTAAAATTACACATAAGACTTAAGAATTACATAAGAATTACACTTAAGATGCAACTGGTAGTTGTAAGATGACAGTGTCCAGCCTGAACGTGCAGTTTACATGATGCTTTGACAGTCTTGCAAAGTTCATGGTGGGTTGTAGTTTGACAGCTAGGGGTCAGAATTTGTTGGCCTTGCTTTAGAATGTGTTGAGAAGGTAGCAAGAAATAAAACCTCTTGCTATCACCAATTTAGTATGAGAAAACAAGTCGTGGTAAAACAAAAATGTCATACGCCTGCCTTACTTTTGTTTCAGTAAAAACCTAAAGTAATGACTCTGCTTTACTCCTTAGTACATTGTTTATCAAGAACAGGAAGATCTTTAGCTAAGTTTCTAGTCTTGCACTATTCCTACTTTAACACCAGGGGTCACTGATGATATTATTAGCCTTTTGTTATCTTTTCTTGTAAAAATACTCTTGATGCTTTTCTTTGCAACAGGTACTCTCTAGGGTAGGGTAATTAAATCTGAAATATTTAGCTTTCACTGAATATTTGCTCTGGATGAAACCTATTTCCTGTTTATAGGATTACTGAGCTGAAATGTGTTTGTTGGATCTTCCTGGCATTTGTTTCTAGAAATCTTGCTCACAGGACCATGTTTGAGGTGGCAACATTGTGATGATCTGCACCACAAGCCACTGGAACCCCAGCTTACCCAATCACACAACCTGTACGGACTACAACAACAACAACACTGCAAGGAGCAAGTGAATCCTACAACCAAAGAATTAAATAAAGGAAACAAAAGATTCAGGAAGGAGCATTAGGAGTATTGTCTGTATTTCATTAAGCTGGGCCACTCTAAAATCAGATAAGACACCTCCAAGAAGATGATGACACAAGCCTGCAACACAGCTGTCACAAGTCTATAACAAAGCTCCTAAATCGACATTCAATCAATGTGTACATCAACATCTGGTTAATAAATAACCCTTGATCCAGACAATGTATTCTCCTGCAGTTTCAGTGAACCTTGCTATCCAAAAGTAGTTTAAGTAAAGTATTTTTAGTGAACTTGTTCTCTTGGAGAATGGCATGCTTGTGATCATCCAGGTCCGCCCACCAACTCTTTGGCTCACCATATTGACTAACACTTTGAGAAGGACTGCAATGATCAGACAAAGCAGGCCAGGGGACTTACATAGTTACATAGTAATATATGTTGGCAGAAGTCCATCACGTTCAGTCTGTAATAAAGCTCCTAAATGGTTAATCATTATGTAGTTTAAGTATTTTTAGTAAACTTGTTCACTTGGAGAATGGCATGCTTAAGACCATCCAGGCTGATGGCAAGTGCCATTATGGTCCGCCCACCAACTGTTTGATAATTGCAGTCCTCCTCCAAGTGTTAGCCAATATGGTGAGCCAGAAAAAGCAGGTCAGGGGATTTACAGTGTTACATAATAATATATGCAAAAGATTAATAAGCGCTCTCTTCTCAGGGGTGAGCAGCAGTTCACCAACATGGTGTTCCTCTACCTTGTGATAAATAGACAGATAAAATGGAAAGGTTAACAGCGCTAAAAATCAGAAAATGTACATACGTTTTGTAGAAATACTGGCCAGCAGAGTAACTTAAAAAAAAAAGAGAAACAAAAATACAAATAATGGTACAGTATGTATGAACGATATAATTCCACAAGAACAAAGGTGTTATATTCACACTCACACTTTGAGGAGCTATATCAGCTCGGTGTTAAGACCCTGGACGGAATAATCCCCGTCTATGGGTTTCTTGAGGTTCAAGACCGTTGGTGAATTTATAGGTGTAAATATTCGTTACATGAAAAACAAGAGTAAAATACACCACATGGTATAGTACGTAAATATAAAATATTGTGAAAAAAAAAAGTGGATGATCCTACTTACATATACTAGAGCAACGACCTGCTCTAGTTTGGAGAATTTCAGGTGGAATAATCCTCACCTTGGGATATAGTGGACCCAGGTATAGCAGCAAAGCAGTATTGGATAGGAAGGAGGACAACAGGAGTGGCTGGATAGTTTAAAAAATATATATACTTTAATACAATAAGTGAATAATAAACTATAAAACCAGTCCTGTATAAAAGTCCAAAATTCTTCCTCACTTGACGCGTTTCGCCGAAGCTTTCGAGAAAGCTTCGGCGAAACGCGTCAAGTGAGGAAGAATTTTTGACTTTTATACAGGACTGGTTTTATAGTTTATTATTCACTTATTGTATTAAAGTATATATATTTTTTAAACTATCCAGCCACTCCTTTTGTCCTCCTTCCTATCCAATACTGCTTTGCTGCTATACCTGGGTCCACTATATCCCAAGGTGGGGATTATTCCACCTGAAATTCTCCAAACTAGAGCAGGTCGTTGCTCTAGAATATGTAAGTAGGATCATCCACTTTTTTTTTCACAATATTTTATATTTACGTACTATACCATGTGGTGTATTTTACTCTTGTTTTTCATGTAACGAATATTTACACCTATAAATTCACCAATGGTCTTGAACCTCAAGAAATCCATAGACGGGGATTATTCCGTCCAGGCTCTTAACACCGAGCTGATATAGCTCCTCAAAGTGTGAGTGTGAATATAACACCTTTGTTCGTGTGGAATTATATCGTTCATACATACTGTACCATTATTTGTATTTTTGTTTCTCTTTTTTTTTTAAGTTACTCTGCTGGCCAGTATTTCTACAAAACGTATGTACATTTTCTGATTTTTAGCGCTGTTCACCTTTCTATTTTATCTGTCCACATAATAATATATGTTGGCTAAACACTAAAGTCCATCACGGTCATCCATTCACACAAAGTTAAAATAAAAGGATAGAATGAAAGAAAGAATAAAACACAACACCATAACCATGTGAGTGCAAGGCAGGAAAAATATTTTCTTGCCAAAGTGGAAAACAGATTTCTTTTTTCTGGCATCAACACATTGTTAATATTGCCCATATTATCTAGTACAGCCTGGAAAATCCATCTTTTTTTCTACATCCATCTTTTTTTCTACATCCATCATTGCACAGGCGGCTGATATCTGTTTCTGCCTTACACACCTGCCATGGTGAAAATATTGCTGCCCCCTTCCATTCCCACTGTGGTTGGGGGTACCAATCTTAGATGGTTCTAGTCCGCTAAGAGAGGAACTATATTATTCTGGGCCCCAGAAAACTGTTTACAGTTTTTCAACGAGTATTCATTTTGCCCTATCTTTTTTGTCCCATCCATTTTTTTATCAGAACGAGATCAGTTTGATCTTGATGGAATATCTCCATAGGGTGTCCTTCAGGGCATTGCATACCACTTAAATCCTGACTCTTCCTGTTACTGTTTAGTGTCCTATCTTAATATTTTTTGTTAAGTTCTCATTTCTTTTTTTTTTCTTCTATGAGTGGGCATTTTCAGGTAACAAATCGATTCCCACCAGACCTTCAGTCTGTCACTATTTTTAAACAGGTACCATGCCACATTATTACTTATCCTCTACCACTCAACAAATAATAATATAAAAAGAGGTCTGTTACTCAGATATGTATTTGCATGTGTCTTCTGATAACTTGATATCCAGTATTTTGTTGCAGCTCTGTAATGTCATTCATACACCTCAATTAAAAAAGAGAACGACAAAAAAAAAGGAATGCCAGGATATGTTAACAGTCACCAAACTACCGAGCTACCACATCAAAATTATTTAGTGTCTCTTTAATGACACAGTCTGCGTGCATCCATGTGTGGGGAAAAAATAAATTCACGTTTTTATAAAATAGACTTTGTTGTGTATAATGGGGTACAAGGTTTCACTGCTTGATCAGGTACAGGTTTATCATAAAGGAAGGCAATTAGAGGATGTGTGTAACATACTGTACCTATTGTTTGGGATGAGATGTGCCGGCAGGTTGGCTCAATAATATTACAGGCCATTGGGTATGTTTTAAGAAACCATCTGGAAAAAAAGACAAAATGCAGTTATAAAGTATGTGTGGTCATTGTTAGCATGCATTATGTGATTTCATCCTTCAATACTGAACACAGAATGTCTGTGTCCGGGGCAAGTAGACTAAAAAAGCTGGCTCCTAAGTGAATGCCTTCTTTGCAGCCTGCAAAGAATCCCTGCAGTATACTCTACATGATTATATCTCTCTCCTCCCAGAATCCTTCAAGGAAGTCAAAAATTCGACCTACGTAACGTTTCTGAAGTGTGTGGGAGGATAGAAAGAAGATGCCGTTTACAATTTCCCTGCAGATTTGCAGAATGACTGAGTTAAGCACTGGCAGAGAAATCTATTTGTCTAACAGGTGTAAACCAGTCCTGGAACAAAAGGAGAGGGCAAGTGGGTATTTGTAAGCAAAATATACATTTGTGTTTATAATTGCTTAGGGTTATAATTTGCTTTGTAATGCAAGACCAAAATTAGCACATATATATACTCATTGCTGCAAGAAAATGGGTTAATATCCCACATACACATTATTTTAAAACAAAAATCAAGAAAACACAGTCCTTCAATCCCATTATTCAACAAAAAAAAAAAATGCAATTATGCTATGAAAGTTACTAAAGATCTAAAGTATTTTCCATTAATCCAGGGACAGAACATTCTACACACAACGCTTAGAGCAATAATTTGTACGCTATGTTAGAAAAGCAGTCTTGTTTGACTTTTGCAGTGTAGTGTACGCAATGTCATGAAGCATGCAAAACACAGCAGGTAAAGGGTACATGGACACTATGTATAGATTCATATGTCAAAGGTAAGACAAATAATCTGTATAATGTAAAAAAAAAGGTATTGTAATTAGTAAATGTACAATAAAATTCTTAGCAACATAATTAAAACTAAATCTTTTTATTTATACACCTTTTATGATACATAAAAGGCAGATAGTTTCTTGTAATATTTACAAATAAGAAGGCAGTCGGCAATTTTCTTTTACCACTCTAATGTCCAAAAAGCACAGTACATATTGCTACAACACCTTGGCAAAGTAAAACTGATAGTAAGCACCAGACCTATTACAGCTTAATGTAGTAGTTCTGGCGCAAAGAGACTGTACCTGCAGCTTCTGCAATGCATACACTGTCGTTACTGAGAAAATGCAGAGTTTACATTAATAACTGTGGACACCTCTATTAGAAGACCTCCTAGTGCAGTCCTGCAATCTATGAAGGGCCGACATTCGGAGTCTTCAAGCTCAGCCTGAGGACATAGAGCGCTTTACTTAGAGATGCATAAGCCAAGCAATATGCTTCCAATCTTTACTTTAGGAAAACATATTATTGGCTAAGATCATCTGTAATGATGATCTCAGCCAGAGAAGCAGTGGCACCTTTAAGGTAAGTTAGAGGTAAATAGTCACAAAACACTAACATTAGGAATATATGTATGTACTCCTAATGTTAAGAGTATTTCCCTTTTTTGGGGGGGTGGGGTAGTCTTAATAGAAAGTACAGTAATGGTCAGCTGCCAGGGACATCTAAAATGAACACTTACTGGTAGAATGGATGAGGTAATGGCTCCACTGAAATAATAGGCATCAATCCACGCTCTCCTGTGCTTAATGACTGACCTTCCCATGAGGATTCATCACCAATATCCTTTAAGTGCACCACATCATTCAGAGGCACTGACAGGAACTCTAGTGTCTGACTGCCTTCCTCTGTACCTCCAACATCTTGGACCACAGCTCTAGCATAGAAGCTACCTGCATTTCAAAACAAAGAACAGATAATACTCACTTATTTGCTGAAATGTAGAATATGATCATTCTCAGCATAATAATTCTTCTGAGCAAAAGGCAACCTCCATGTGAAAAAAATAATAATATAGATCAGGACCTAAACTTTCAAGTCCTATGCTACTAGGTAGGCATAAAAGTTACTCACCACTGCAAGCCCAGAGGATCCATGGCGGTATCATCAAGGGTCAATTTCTACCTGCCAGGACTGAATTTTTACTTTTACAAATTGCTAGTGGGGAATTTTGAACCATGGTATAGATTAGATATAATAGTAGAACTGCCAGGAGTTATCTATGATGGTATAGAATTTTCACCTAGTCTCATCTCATGTAACCACTAAGTGACGCTAAAGGCATTTTCAGTAACTCACATGTTGTTACAATACTATTGGAGGTTCACTAAATGTGCCTCAGTATCCAACAGGTCTTTAGCAGTGGCCTAACCGACCACTTATATATGGAATACACCAATTCAATGGCCTGCTTGTCTGAAATTCACATTATAGCATAGTACTATGGTTTCCAGACTTTCAGGCAAATCTGGCTCATGTATCAGGATTATTAAGAAAAAGTGGAGTAAAATACATAGGGGGTTATGTATAAAAATAGTTAATGTTCTGAAAGGCGGTGTAAAGTACTAAACTTGGGGCAGTCACGATGAAAACCAGTGGAACAAGTTGGCACATTGTAAGTGACTTACCCCCTTTTTTTAAATAACTATGATATTTTTGATTTGATATTGTATGCCTTTATTTTGACCCTTCCATGTTTCTCTGTCATGCTAAGAAAGGTAAAATAAAATATAGGAAAACATCTGGAATCTCATTACCAGAGTTAATCAAGACAGACAGTCTACATTGACTACAATTTTATATCATTTTAGTCTGCAAAGGTCTGAGCGCCTTAAATTCAGGAAAGAAAAGAGCTTTTTAAAATTGGTCATTAGATAGGAGCTTATTATTGATGTTGGAGAAGAACCTGGCCTTGTTATCAGGTTTTAACTAGAAATTCAATAAGATGTGGAGTGCAACTATATACAAATCCATGCAGGTATGAACAAACTACATATACATGTTGAAGGAGTAAATCATTGATGTGTTACTACCTTCTTGCAAGAGTAGACCCAAGTATAGTGTTGCAAGCTCATCTTGATTAACCGAGACCTGGATCTCTGTGTCTTCTACCAAAGCAGAATTCAGCCAATAATGCTCATCAAACAGCAGGTGTTCCAAGCTGCACGCCACAAACCCTTTAAAAAAAAAAAAAGAGGTGAATCTCAAAAAAGTTTTAACTGGTAGTGGCTTTTTATAAGGTAAACACGTACAACATAAAAACCATAAACAAAATATGCAAAATTCACCAAGGATAGGTGACAAAGTAAAATTTTAAAATAATCAGATTGGCTCAGTTTGGGTTCAAAATTGTGATCTAATGTTAACAATCGAAAAGCATATAGATTAAAAAAAAAATTGTGAAATGGTTTTGATCCAATGCAGTAGACTAGACTTTTTTTTTTTTTTTTTAATAATCTTTTATTACAATATTTTTCATATTTAATAAACAAACACATATGAGTTCCAAATAACATTTGTGATATATCATCAGTCGGTTAGGTTTTTTTCATAACATAATTTCAACTCAAACATACAACATTTATGTCTGGATGGACGCGAGAACTCCCACTTTATATAATATATATATATAAGAGATTTTTCCTTTTTAAATATAATTATAAACTTCAGATGTTACTTTCAATAACTTTTTGCCAGTTTTTAAGAATACAACTTTCTTGTCTTGCTTTAACACTTGTCCAAAACAATCCCTGTTCCATATTACATCTGTTTTGCCCCATTTTCTAGTTATTATTATTTTAGTGGCAACAAAACAAATGGAATGTTAGCAGGGGTTGTTTTTTGTTTAGTGTCGGCCACTTCAGATGTAACAAAGCAATTTCAGGTTTTATATCAATAACAACGTTACCAATTAAATACAGTTTTTCAAAAACCAATTCCCACGTTTTTTTAATTATATCAAAATTCCACCAAATGTGAAGGTAGTCCCCTTCTGCTCTGCCAAATCTCCAACATTTGGGACTATGGATATGCGAGAATTTTGCCAGCCTATTAGATACATAATACCAAAATTGTAGAAGTTTAAATTGTTTTTCTAAAATATTAGTACAATGAATTGACTCATTAGATCTCTTAAGTGCCTCAACCCATTCGTCTGGGTTAGACTAGACTTCATATTGTCCTAAACATTAGGCAATTTGTCAACTACGTTACATCAACTGCAAATAAGTGAAAGATCAGAAGGGTATCACGTTCGTATGAACCTTTGTATGTTCACTTACCAAGCGAGAGGTAGGTGGTAAACTTCCATATCTCTTCTATAGTTTTAAAAGTGATCATAAACACATCCTTCTGAGCTTGAATTGAGACTAGCCTGGCGGACAGTTCCTGGAATGGATTCAAGTACATAGTGTTAGCTTTGTTTTTATGTTTTGTTTTCCAAATAAAGACTCAAACCTTATGGATATCGACAGATTGTATTTCAGACCACCAAACCTCTACAGTGATATGCAAAGTAATTCATCTTGTTCTACTTAAATATTAGAAAACAACATTTGAATGGTTATATTTGGATAAATACTTTTTTAAAGCTTGCAGGAGATGTAATTGGTTTATCTCCTTTGAATGTTTATTACAAAACATTTATCAAGAGTAAAAAGTACAAAGCTCAATATCAGCCTTGATGAATTACGTGAGACTTGTCGTAGGAGCATGTTGCGGACTGAATTGCCAGACAAATAATTACTCCACCATGCAAAAACTATTTATTTAAAAAAATTCAAAGCTAGCTCTAATAAAAGTTCTCTAAACAGTTAAGGTATGGAGTCTTGCCAATTTCTCTGGATCACTGCCCACACCTGCTGCAATTTTTAGAACACCATGTTATACAATTTGCTCCAAGGACAGGAGTAGCTCTGATTATCGGCCACAAATAATGAAATACGTACAACCTTTAAACAAACAGCTTTCGTTTTAGATTACCCTTATTACATTAAGTGAAACAATTCTTTGGACAAAACACATTTATTGCTATTACCTAGTCAAAAAAATGATTTATATATGAAAACATCCAATATGAGATCAAGGGCTTGAGTTTTCACAACACACTTAATTGTGGCAAACTCATAACTTGTATCCCAAAAAATGCAGTCAAAGCAGAGGAATCTAAAGAACAGAATAGAGTTAGACACATAAGCTAAATTGTACTACTGATACCCACATGCACACACACACACACACACACACACACTAAAGGAATGCAGTAATAGGCGATGTTGGAAATGTTGGCTAGATAATTGGCTTTTTATTTTTTAATTCTTTATTTTTGCAGTGCATATGAACATAACAAACTTGCATGGGGTACTCCAACGGCAATCCTCATGCTTTTTTTCAACATTAGTAACATTGGGGTATGCGATAGTTCGCAGGCTAGGTAGGTAAAATGCTACATAGCGTAGTCTGCAGGTTTACGTGACAAGATACAAACAAGCATAACTCGGGATTCTGATCTAACCTGTGCGTGAGAGGTTATACACAGATAGATGGTGACCCTCAGGCGTACCTATGGGTTAGGTGTGAAATATACATGCAAAGTGAGACAACCACTGGATTATAGGGCTTTGGTTATTTCTATATTGCTGTTGCATTTATGAGCCATGGAGCAAGTAAGGAGAATATCCTGTATACTGCGTATGCATGTCTAAGGTTTAGGTTAGCTTGTCAACAGAGATAACAGAGAAGAAGTGATTGGACAGATTGGTTAATATTTCGGGTATCCTATCTCAGATGTTAGATTCATGGCTCTCGCTTGCTATTGCTAATCATCATAACCAGTGCATACTTAAACATGAACATAGGTTAACGAGTTGAACTACCGATGTCAGCCCCCTGTGCTCCTCCCCTTATTGCACATGCTTTAAGAGTATGGTTAGGGAAATGTGAAAAGAAAAAAAGAAAAGAAAAAAGAAAAACATAACACTTAAATTAAGCCTTAATCATGTATCACGGGTCACTCGAGTAGTGTTGCCACAGGTAAATAGTGTCTGTCAGTGTGTGGTCAAGCCTTTCATGTTCTGGGGGCCCTTTTCTCCGTTCATCCGATCCCTGTAGGTAGCAAGGTTGGTGCTGGGCGGGGAGCGTGTCCGCGGACTCCTTCAGTCGATGGAGACTGCTTCCAGGCTTCCCAGGGAGGCAGCGTGTGGATGTCCCATGTGGGTGTTTGCACAGAGGTATGTAGCTTTTTCGGATCAGTCCCTGTAGCATGTAGGGGGTTTGGGCTAGACCGGAGGTTGCTCTGGTGCTTTCCTCCTTGTGGGTACCGCACTCTTCCCCTTCGTTGAGCAAATTGGCAAGGTAAGGGGCGCTGAAGGGGTGACCATGTGGTGAGTCCACGTTGAGGCATTGAGTGACCCACCACTGGTCGGCGATTAAGGTACTGGGGCTGTCGTCTACCTGCCCGTCTCCTTCTTCCCGCTTTCCAATTCTCTCCTGAGGCCCGTCCCAGAGTCGCAGGCTGCTGCTCGGAGTTTCATGGGATTGCAGTCGGCAGGGTTTCAACCGAGGTGCACCTGCGGGTAGAGAGCCTGGCCCAAAAATCAGCGAGCAGACAGTCAAGCCGCTCCGATAGTGAGGGCAGCGGGGGCCCAGGTGCTGGGTTATTTATGGCGTCTGCCATGTTGTGCATCGTTGGTCTGATGGTGCAGGTAAGCCGGTTTTGGTTCCCCTGTCTCGCCCTCCAGGCTGTCGTTGCTGGGATATCCCTCTCCGGCAGGGGGGGGGGGGGAATGGAGTGTGCCGAGGAGATCGTCTGTGATGTAGGCCGCAGTCGGTCGAGGGATCGGTCACCTCCCTCGTGCCGTCTGGGTAGGCCCCATGTAGGCCTCAGATCTATCCCACGGCCGCAACCGCCAATTCTGGCCAAAGGCCTGATTGTGCATCGCTGTAGCGGTGGACACCTGTCTCTGGTGCTCAAAAGCAGGCATGGAGTGGGTCGTTTTCAGGATTTTTGTCGCGTTTTTGCCCACTTTAGCCCGGAGCTCGTCTAGTGTGCAGCCGCTCAGTTTGGCTGCCAAGCTCTGCCCCCAGATAACTGGCTTTAAGAACTTTTTTCACTTTCTTTTAAAATTATATGTGAAACTGCAAGAAGAAAAAAATCCATTAATAAAATAAAAGTACCGCAACTAGAGGTTCATATGTTACCCATCGTACAGTGCTACGGAATCTGATTGCGCTATATAAATAATAATATAATTATAATGTGTTACAGATAAGATTAAACTGGAGGACAGTTGGTTTCCTCACTGATAAGATCCTACACACTTTATTCAATTATCAATATAAAAAGTTATGCAATGGGTTGTCAAAGAGAGATTGTTTGCTTAAATGCAAGGATAACATGGCTCGGGGCTCCTTTAGGGAACAGCCACTCAGGATATGCACGCAAAACAACATACAACCAGTAGCAGTGCATTGCAGACATACAATGATGGAAGCACAGAACAGGTATGTGGACTTTTAAATAAAATATGGCCCACAGTAATTTTGAAAGCAATTCAAGATTATTTAGGGTTCAGGAAGTTGTATGAAGAGGAAGGCTTTATGTATAGGTTTGTTATTTTCCTTTATTATCCATGCACATTGTGGTCAAACATTACATGTATTTGGAGCCTGATATTAATGATGGATGTAATATTTGGCATACACATTATCTAGATGGACACATCTTAAAAAAAGTGATAAGAAAGTTATTCCAAGCAGCATGACCAGTCAAGGTGCATGGAGTTTTTATGTGCAGAGTTTCACTGTGAGAATTTGAACATGCCGAGTTTAAATCCTAGGTTGCTTGAGGTGCAAATCCACCTTCAACAGCATCATGGGATGGGATGTCATCAGCCAGCCCATAACTAGAGTTCCAGGCTGGCTAAAGTCAATTCTGTGCAATTGTTTTTACACAATGTGACATTCATTGGCTGAGAGCAGTCAGCTGACACTCTCAGCCAATGAATGGTGCCTGTCTCAGTTATATCATATCACCAAAGTATCAGGGAACCTCGGAGCCAAGTGAGGACACAAGTAAGAAGGCTGTAGTAGCTATCATGCTTGGACTAACCCAAGTATTTAGCACATAGATAGAGATGCACCTTTGCAAACAGGGAAGAACCCATAGGGCAGCTTCGTGTAACCCCGGCCATACATAGTGTGGTGCTCCATTGGGCATAAAAGGATAGACTCTCTACTGACCTGCTGTCTTTAAAATGACGGCAACACATTAATACACAATCATTTAATCTAGATCCATTTAACTTTCTGCAGAAATATACCAGATGTTTGATATTATTAGTAAGACTTTTTACATTAAACTAGCAAGCCAGCAGAATACAAAAGCAGGATATAGTGCTGAGCAGAACATTAACATCTGTTTTAGCAGTCTCTCGCACAGCTTTCTATACTATTTCATGGCAAGAACACAAACAGCATCTATGTGCAGGTGCTCTTTATCCCCTTAGTGACCAGACCGTTTTTACATTTTCTTACTGTTAAGGACCAGGGCACTTTTTACATTTCTGCTGTGTTTAGCTGTAATTTTCCTCTTAAAAAAAATGTATAAAATGTGATTAAAAATTGTAAAGAAAAACAAACAAAAAAAACACACTTTTTCTAACTTTGACCGGTTATGCATCTACAACCGCCAAAAAACACCCGTGCACCAAATAGTTTCAAAATTTTCTCCTGAGTTTAGAAATACCCAAATGTTAAAATGTTCTTAGCTTTTTTGAAAAGTAATAGGGCAATAAGTACAAGTAGCACTTTGCTATTTACAAACCATTTTTTTCAAAATTAACCCAAGTTACATTGTAACACTGATATCTGTCAGGAATCCCATAATAATACTTCACATGTATATATTTTTTTAAAAGAAGACAACCTAAGGTATTAAACTCGGGGTATTTTTACTCTTTTAATGCAACCATTTTACCACCAATCTATGCCAAATAAAAAAAAATATATAATAATTGGTGATTTTTTTGACACACATAGCAATTTAAGAATACATGTATGGAGAACTTTAAGGGTTACTGCCAAAGAACACCCCAATATGTGCAGTGGTGTATCCTGATTTTGTGCTGCCCTAGGCAGGACAAAACTCAGGCACCCCCCACCCCACCTCCCCTCTTTCTCCCTGGGGGTCCAGTGGCTGCTGGGGGGTCGGGGGCGCTGGTGGGCGGCTGGCGAGGGAGCACTTCCTCTGAGCTGTCTGCTCAACTCCCTCGCCCGCTGCAGGGTGAGGCTGGGAGCCGGAATATGACGTCATTTTCCGGCTCCCAGCCTCACTCTGCGGCGCGCGAGGGAACTGAGCAGACTGCTCAGAGGAAGAGCTCCCTCGCCAGCCACCCAGCAGCCCAGCCCAGCATGTCAGTTAGCCGCAAGGCTAACAAGACATTTGCCCTGGGCATTTGGGGGCGGCTTTTTTTGAAAATGCCGCCCAAGGCAAATGCCTTGTTTGCCTCGCGGCTAAAATGTCCGTGAATATGTGTTCAGCAACATCTCCTAAGTAAAGTGATACCCCCCATGTATAGGTGTGTCAGGTTCTCTGGGGGCTAAAAGACCTTATCTGGAGGGTGTGAATTCCAGTTTTCCAACTTGGAATTTTCACAGCTGGTCATCATGCACCCATGTCTTATTTGGGACATTTTTAAGCCAGTCAATGTTATTTACCCCCATCAAACCATATGTTTTTGAAAGGTAGATACCATAAGGTATTTCAAATGGTGGTATTTTAAAATTTTCCATGCACTAATTTTACCACCATTCTTTGACAAACTTTTATGTAGTAATTTTTTTGTGTTATTGTTCTCTCAAATTGTATTTTAGGCATGGATTCTCAGTTCCTGTTATTTGTTACTGACAAAGAACACCCCAATATGTGTTCAAAAACATCTCCCAAGTACAACAGTGCTCGCAATGTACAGGTTTTATGGGTTTTTGCAGAGTCACAGGGGTCAAATATAGGGCTTTCCCCTTTTCCATGTTTGCACATTGAAATGTGTCAGGTTGGCTGGGCCTATGTTTCCTTTGAAACCTTATAGAAGCCCAGGTATGAAAATTAACCCCATCATGCAGGGCCGGACTGGGAAAAAAATTAGGCCCGGGCATTTTTCAATCAGAGCGCCCCCTAAGAAGGGGGCGGGGCCAGAGAGTGTGTGTTTTGTCATCACTAGTGAAAAGCACTGGATGCTGTGTGTGTCTGGGGGGTGCTGTGTGTGTCTGGGTGCTGTGTGTGTCTGGGGGGTGCTGTGTGGGGGTGCTGTGTCTGGGTGCTGTGTGTGTCTGGGGGGTGCTGTGTGTGTGAGTGAATGTATTTTTAATTTAAATTTAAATATATTTTTTTTATTAATAAAAAAAAAATTTTTTATATCCCCCCCTCCCTTCTTACCTTTATCCTGGGAGGGGGGAGCCTTGAGGGGGGACCATGTTGTCATATTTCCCTGGTGGTCCAGTGGTGAGAGTGAACTCTAACCTGCAGGCTAGAGTTCACTCTCGCGAGATCTGAGCGTTGCCATGGTAACCGCGGCAACGCTCAGAATCCCAGGAGAGGACCCGGCGGAGCTGCTTATTAGAGCTCTGACGGGTCCTCTCTCCTCCCTGCCTCCCTCCCTCCCCTGCCGGCGGCCGGTTATAATTGCCTGTGGGCCGGTGAGGGAGATCTTTGATCTCCCCACCGGCCCATGGAGGCACACAGCAGGGCCGGCGCTCGGATAGCGCTGGCCCTGCAGAGGCCGGCCGGGGAGATCCCCTGTCGGCCTCGGCCCCACGGCCATCGCGGCCCACCGGGCATTTGCCCGGTATGCCCGATGGCCAGTCCGGGCCTGCCATCATGGCATACCATTTGTAAAAGTAGACAACCCACTGTATTCAAAATGGGGTGTGTCCAGTCTTTTGTAGTAGC